TCGCTGCGCCGCTGCCGCTGCTGCTGCCGCCGCTGCCGCTGCCGATGTTGTTGTCGTCGACGGCGACGCCTCTCAAAGAGCACTGAGCCGAACGCTGAGCAGCTGAGCAGCTGCGGGGGAGGCTAGCGAAATTGTTTGTAAGTAGTTGCCGCAGTCGCAGTTGCCCAAAATGTACGTTCGCTTTTGCTGATAAGCCAGCCAGTCAGCCAACCAGCCAGACACAAACAGCAACAACAATAATCACAACAGCAACAACAACAAGAAGAACAACATACAAATCGGTTCGTCGCGTTGTCGGCTTGTGAAGGTGTTCTCGGTGCTGCGGTATTAGCTGTCGAACAGCGTAAAGGCGACAGCGCAGGGTCGCCGGAGATCGTCTCACTTTTAAACTGGCCACAGCATCAGCAGCTGCAGCAGCAGCAAAAGCCACAAAAGCGCGACTAGCAGATACCCTATAGTTTTTATATAACCATGAACACATGCACACATACGTAAACCAGTTTTTTTATATAACTTTTACTCTCATCAAGAGTTGTTTTTATACATATTCCAGCGCCCATAGATATCATAGTTGTTCAGGGTTGCCAGACCTAATAATGCTGTTAGTGGTTCGGTTCACGGTTTGAACCAGTGAGTTCGAATTGGTTCGTCAAGTTAGTTTTCCACAACCTGTTGGTTCAAACTCTGATCAAAGCGAATTATGCTTTGAAGCTGGATATTTTTCAGTTTTATTTTAAATATACCAAGGCTTTTATTTGCCTGTTTCTGTTTCTGGACAACTCATTTGGTTCATGTCAAAAATTAAAAGAGAATTCAGACTTAGATCTGGTTCAGTTCAAAGCCAGTTAAGCACATTCGATAGTGTTCTATTTTTAACAACTTGTTTTTAGAACTCAAGCTCTCCAATCTCTGACTAAGCATTTACAAATTTATATGCAGCCGAGTTAGGTCCTGCCCCCCATTTGACACACACTCAGCGGTTTGGCATTATTACACTACTAACACACATTCTAGAGGGTATTATTTCAAATGGCACATATAATAACTAAAGCAATTTGTGTATATACGATATCGGAAGCATTACATAAGTGTGTGTTCGAATATAAAGCAAACCGGTATCACCGAGTCTTGGAAATGCGTTCTAGTCAACGCAAATAAATAGTAGAAATCGCAATTAATGCACATCAACAATTATGAATGTGCAAATCGATGCTGCATTTCTTAGTTGCAGCATTAGCATATTAAGCCATATTATTTGGAGGAGGGGGCCGCTGCTTGGGGGCTGCCTGATCTGATGGATTTGCAGTGTGTGTGTGTGTGCGTGTGTGTGCGAGTGTGTGCTCAGGTGTTTGTGGCAATACGACATCGGATTGTAATTAAGCGATTGGCGATTGGGTGCTTCAGTTTGTAATATTTGCCCAAGGCACACGCTTTGCTGTTGTTTAAACAAATGCACGAACGCACATGATTTGAGCAAATTAATTATTGAATGTAGCATATAAATTAATTATATAAGTTGTTGTTGCTGCCGATTTGCAGTTCAACAAACTTTGGCAAACTGTTTAATTCTTATCAGCAGCTTACAATTATTGAAGAGCAATCATTGATTATGCGCCTTTTGCTAGTTGAACAAACCTTTTTGTATACGATGCTGCTGCCGGCTTATGCTTAAAGGTCGCCCTCTTAACGCTATTGTTTGGCAATTTAATAAGCAGCAGCAACAACAGCAACAACAATTAGCAAAAGCCGAGACGTGACATAGCGAAATAGTTGTGTGACAATAATTGAATATCACAAATACAAATGGCCAATAACAAAATGAGTTAATAACATTAAGTTTATTGTTGCTATGGATGCGACAGTAGCTGAAAGCACACTGATCATGATCATGTGTTGCTGTGTTGTTTGTTTAATTGATTTTTTTGTTTGCATAGACATTGAATGCTCAAATCGAAATATCTTAAACGAATTATAAATCGAGCTTTAATTAAATGCAAGACCTGACAACAGCTACAATATAAAGGGTATAGAGCTGAGCAGCAGTATTATTATTTTTATATATATAATATACACTTTATAGCTCTTTTCCCATGAATGTGCTTTCTTAGTTTGGCCACAACACGCACGTCAATTAGATAACAGATTTTTGAAACCGACAAATGCTTTACTTTTACTTAAAAGAGACTTAAAACACATAATTCAAATATCATAAACTTAGGCCTAACCACACGAACGGTAGGCAAAAGCTGAAGATGTCTTAAGATGGAATTGTTTCTACAAATAATCGTAGCAGAATAATGCCCAAATAATATAGGACCATAATCTGTTAAATCTGCCGTAAAAGCCCGTTGATAACTCATAGTGCAATTTTCTGCAAAAATCTTAGATTAATTACTTATGCAGTTGGAAAATTCATATTGAACTTTGAATTTGCGTCAATTTATTTGTTGACCAAGTCAACGTATATATTTTGTTTATCAGTGCTTTAATTAAACTAAACAAGAAAGCATTTTTAATTATTATTGTGCGCCAAAGACAAATAAACACGATTTTCTCTTATTTCTTATATAGTCAGACGCTTTCTTGTGTCGTCACGCCCCGCGGCGGCGTATGCGCAATGTCGAAAAGAAATTTCCTTATCAGTGACAGTGTGTGCGCGTGCGTGTGTGTCGGGTGTGTGTGTGTGTCGGGTGTGTGTGCGTGTCAGGTGTGTGTATGCTCATACAACATTTGCTCTCCTTGCGGCCTCTAGATCGTTGTAGGTCTCTGAGGTGTTGCTTGTTGTGTCTGCCTTGGGGAGGGGCGGCACAACATGGCGTATACATGTTTTCGCCCATTTAGAGGTTAAGCATTTATTTATTTGCATTTTTTGTTTTGCTTTTTTTCGTGGTGTGTTTGTCGTTTTTTATGGGTCGCCGAAAATGTGATTTTATATTTGCTTTCAACTGGCTGGCAAATATTGACCATTTGCACTTACCAAAGCAAATTTAATTATTAACAAGTTAATGAAAATTCGTTTTATTATTTAACACGTGATATAATTCGATTCATAACGGATCTTTTGTACTTTTGCCGCCGGAGATACCACAGCAGCCGCTGTACCAAGATCTTGACATTATCTTTGCCATAGCATGACTCATGGCTAACCAGACAGGGAACAGGGCCTGATCCGGGGGTGGTGTGAGTAGTAAATTTTTATCTGCTGCCTGTCAGCGAGACTCAGAGAGTTGACAACTTTGTGGCCGACAGTTACTTGTGTTTGGTGCCGCTTAACTGGGCCAATAAACAAGCAAGAGAATAAAAATCACAAAACGAAAACGTTTTATTAATTAAAAAGTGCTTGTATGTGAAGTAAATAGTGGTAGGCAGCAGCAGGGCGAGAATATAGGCAAATATCATAAATAGACATGACAAATACTCGAAATTAAAAAATATCAAAATTCATATTTTGCCCCCGTCCAAAGATAATCAGAGCCCGAACTCAAGTGCCTGGCTGCGACCATTGCTAAAATTAAAACTGTGACAGTTACATCAAACTGCAGCAATTGTCCTAAACTTTGGTTTTTTTTATCGCCCGGCTGGTGTATTTTTGGGCGCACTCAAGTGCTCCGCAATTAGGGATACGACTGGCAGAGCTGGCTCTTATCAGTATCAGTGCGCGGCACACGTTTACCTCCAGGTGACGTCTGTTCCGTATATAGTACGCTTTGTTAGCTTTGTTTTATTTGCCCATTTGAGCCGTACAAAGCCATGTTTAATGTCTGATATTTAGACATACGAGGCGTATGCGTAATATCTACTTTACAGTAAACCAAATCACAACGGAAGCTCGACTGCCACTGTAATTGGCCGTAATCTGAAAATGCCAGCCGGCCGACAACCTTCACTCTCTACAGCTTAATCAATGACTCAGTCCTCAGTCGGTCAATATCTGATGCGCTGAGATGAGTGACGTTTTTGCCAGCGAAACGCTCCGTGCACAGCCTGCCCCAATATTCTTCGTTGTTTATCAGCAACGAGTTGCGAGTCTGCGAAGCTTGTTTAACAACAAAATACACCACATTATTATAGTGATTGGCAATCTGGAGCATTGCTTGCACTCTTAACAGCAAATATATCTGACTATTAAGCAAGCAATAAGATGCTGCTCATATGCATATAAGAAGTTTAGCCAAAACTAGACTAAACGATTAGAATTTGCAGGTCTCAATAGAAGAGATTGTCCAAGTGACCCGTATTTAGGCTCCAATCCAAGACGAGGGTATAAATGTTGTTCCATCTTAGTCGAACGCCACAGTTATCTATAAATAATATTATTAATGTAAAGGGTGTTTTTTCACAAAAGAGAAGTGAGCTTAAATCCAAGGGATTCTCACAATAAAGAGTGTGGGGGGGGGGGGGGGGGGGCGGAACACTGCGTCCGAGAAGATCTATTGTGCCTGTGAAGACCTAAGGGGCATCACTCTAGCTGAACCAGGCCTGATCTGACTTGGACAGATACAATTTTTGCCAATTTTTTTTAAAAATTAAATAATAGCAATAATTCGATTGAGCTAAAATGCTTGCCAATAATTGTCGTTTATAGCTGTTATCTCATTGCTCTAGTTATCTAGAAAAATATATTTTAAGAATGAATAATTATTATTTATTAAATGTGATATCTCTGAGTCAATCTTTTGCATTTGATATCGTCCGGGGATCAGCTATGGCTATAAGACACCCTGCTCTATTCACGTATTGCTCGTCGGAGCGTCTGCCCAGCTAGCATATTTTTACCCTTGTCATCATGGTTAGTCTATTTGTTAGCCAAATATTAGATTTCTTTATAATAAATTAAAAGCAATGACTTGTTTTTTATCTGTCGCGACTCTTTAAATAATACAGGTTTATCACGCTGAGAACTCGTTAAGATTTACAATTTATAATTTTTGTATAGTAACATCTACAAAATTTTATTAGTTGCGATCGCATTAGTTTATTTTAAATTAAATAATGCCTAATAAGTTTTCTAGGCGGCTTTCACGCTTAAGACATAATATTGTTTATTGCTAGAATAGAAGAACGAGCGCAATGCGCCTAAGTATTCCACACAAAAAAGAGGTAAATAATTATTTTATAGCAAACAATTGCTTTCGACATCTTCAACTCCACGCAGAGCTACTCGACAATTGTCTTGGGTGTGAAATGGTATATAAACATAGTATTCAATAGACTAGCTATGAACTAACACATGAAAACAGCCTTCTACTGAATAGATAGCCAGAGCATCTATTGGACTACTTTGACGCCGTTTCCGTCGCCGGCTTCTCGCTGCTGGCGTTAATCGCGGGTGCCTTGGCAAATTCCTCAATTGTATCTTTCACCTTCTTGAGGCCTCGGCCCGCATAGCAGGGCAGCATGTGGACAAACCGAAAGGAGCTCTTGACGCCCTCGTTGTAGTAGTGTTTGGCCAGGAAGCGCATCTCGCCCACCCTTGGCAGTTCGGGCACGTCGAAAGGGAGCCGCTCTTTTGCCTGCTGCACATAGGGAGTCAGCTGTGCCTTCACATTTTTGTATAGCTTATCCGTTTCGTCCGTGGTCCCCCAGACGCCAGCCTGGTGGGTGTAGTAGACAGCGCCAGCGACTACACCGCAGCGCACCAGAAGTCTAACATGGATCAATGGGTAAGCTTTAAGGTTACGTAATTTGTTGAAAGCCAATGTGCTGTAACTTACCCAACTACCATTTTGTTTCGTTTGCTTATTTGCTACGGAAGGGGAAGCGTGTTAGGCAGAATATATTCCAAACTTGGGCAAGTCTGGTCGTAGATCGTCAATTGCTATTAAACTAAAAATTCCACAGAATTGTGTGTATGGCGTAGACAACAACAATTGTGATGCAAGCTAACATTGCGCTTGCCAGAGCTATGTTAAATAACAGAATTGCTCCACACCAAACGAAACGCTGCTCCACAGAAACAAATTAATAAAATATATTACACAATTAACGAAAGAAAGTCCCGTTTACATTCTGTAAATTTGAAAAAGATTAACAAACATATAATATGGATTAAATATTTGAAGTAATTTTCAAGTCTTTAAATTTTAACACACATATATGTAATTCCTTTTATTAATATAAATATTGTTTGCATTTCTAATAAATGTGAATCTCTCATGCAATAAACAGTTAATATAAAACTCTTTGCACATCAATATTGAGTACACATAACATTTTGGATTGTTTTTGTTTTTTTCTGATATTTTCATAAGTACAAATTCCTTCGTATTTCTTTTAGTGTCAATGCCTGACTGCACTAAATTTTTGTTTAATATTTTTGTTCAACACATTTATAAGAAACATGGATTAAGAAACATTTGTTTGCGTTCGATTTTGATTTATAAATTAACACTCAGATATAAAATACATATTTATGTGTGTATAAGTATTATGTAAAGTGTATACTTTACATTATTGTTATATATAATTATCAATAATTACGTTGGTAGAAATTGCTGCAAACCTTCTGTGAAAATATTTGATATTACTCTGATAAACTTCAGTAAACCAAAGTTAGCTGATATTCGGATTTTCTGATATTTTTCGCTTTATAATGTTTAAGTTGTGGAACACTTGAAACATAAATTTGTTGATTTTTTGTTTTCGTTGCACTCCGTGCATTATAAATAATTATAATTTCTTATTGCTTTTCATTGTATTCGAACAGAAATTGACATTTTTCAGAACTTTTCATTAATAGAACATAAATTTACGAACATCAGTCTTCGCTTGTAAGCTGATTGTAATATGACATATAGTTTCTTATATACAAATTCAAATTCAAATTGAATTCTTAAGCATTTGTTCTTGTAGTTTACACAGGGGAAACAGGATACAGTCGAAATTGGGTTCAGAGCGCTTAATTATTAAAAGCTCGTTTATATCCGTAGAATGCATTTTAACGTATAACAATGTTATATTCGATTTTGCTCGAAGTCACATTAACAATTCAACAGCGGGAAGACTACAATTTGAAACACATAAATATATAAAATAGTTAATTTGTAATACATCGATAATAGCGCCTAGGGCAACACAGATAACGATTCATAGTTAACAATTTTCAAATAGATTTCATTCGTGAAAGTGAAAGGAAGGATATTTTGATATCGTATTTAGACGGTTACTATGCTAAGCTTAAATTCAAATTCGGTGTACCAATTTTTGCAGGTTTATCAAAAACTCTCCGTATTTCCCAACATTATAATAGATCCGTGCTAAAGTAACTGTCGTTGGCTAAATATCCAATACACCTTATCAATACACACAACACACACACACACGCACACACATTTATATTATCTACAACGATATTTAGGTTTCATTTGGGTTTTTCTCAAGCTCTTCTGTTGACTGTGTTATCGGAGGACCGTCCTCTATATCTATGGAGTTCTCTCGCTCCGTTATATCCGGCATTTTGAGCGAAAAGCTGCTCAGCTTGCGCTCCGCGGAGCCCAGCGAGCTCTGCGAATCGGCCTTTAGCAGGGTGGAGCGACGCTCATTGATCACCTTCAGTGAGTCGTACATGTGATCATCGCCGCTGGCGGCGCTGCCGGCACGCTCCAGGGAGCGTATATAGAAAACCGAATCATCCCGATCCTTGGCTATGGCCGGCTTGGGCCGATAGAATTGCCTGGAACTGTTGCTTCTATAGAGCGTCGTCTTCTGCTCCCGCTCCAGTTCCCGCTGCAGTTGCTGCTCTTGTTGCTGCTGTTGCTGTTTCTGCTGCTGCTTCTGCTGCTGCGGCTGATCTGCGCTGCCGCCGAGGGGCAGAAAGTCGGGACGCTGTTTCTTTGGCGGCAGGCTGTGGGTGTGATGCACCAGCTCGCTTATCTCGCTGTAGGCCACGTTGCACTCGCTGTTGCTGTGGCATTCAACCGCAACACGTTCGTCGATTAGCTCCACACTCTCCTCCGGCACGGCTGGCTCCATGCTCGACTGTCCCGACAATTGACGGACGGGTGGAGGCGGCTCTGAGCAGACCGACAATTGGCTGCTGTAAGGCACACAGTTTGACGGTTGGCAGCTGGTTATGGATATGATAATGCAGCACGCTTACCGGAACTCCTTCTCAACTGATGGCGTCGCCGAGGGACCGGAACTGTAGCGTTTGGGCGAGCGCAGTATTGACTTGGGCATCACTTCCGGACTATGCAGATCCACCTGAATGCGCCGTGAATCAATGCTTGAGGTGCGACTCGCAACCGAAGCACAACGCGCCGTCCAGCGGCCGCTGTACGACGAGTCTGACATGGTCGAGTTGCTGAAAATAGGTTGAAAATGCAGAAAAAGTTGGTGGAAAATGTGCTTTAAATTTAAGAAAGCTTTTGTAAAAGCTCTTCAGCTTGATACAATTCGCAACTGGTTAGAGCGAGAGATGGTCAATATCAAATTGCCATTGAAACTTTTCGCTGAAGTAAAGCTTTAATGTGCTTTCCAAACTCTTAACAATAATCAGTGTTGGTTAGCATGAGTATTTGTATGTATGTCGCTTTTTAAGCTAGTGTTGATAACCGCGCTCAAAACTTGTGCGAGAAGAACAGCAGCAAATTGTCATTGAAGCTGAACTTAAGCTTTCATGTGCTTTTATAAGTGTAACCAATATGCAGTGTTGATAAGCATATTTGTAACCGCACTAAGGACCAATAACAGCATCAAATTGTTAGTTCAGTTTTTAGCTGAACTAAAGCTTTGATTTGCCTACAAAACTTCCAACAAACTGCAGTGTTGGTTAGCATTTGTATTGTATGTAGGTCGCTCTTTAAGCTAGTGTTTCTAACCGACCCTTAGGTCTTATTCGCAAGGTGAACAGCATCAAATTGTCAGTGAAGCTTTTAGCTGAACGAAAGCTTTCATGTGCTTTCAAAATATTTCAAACTTATTAACTATTACGCAGTGTTGGTAAGCATGTGTATTGTTTGGCATGTGGCTTTTAAGCTTTAAGCTAGTGTTGGGAACCGCACTTACCGCCTGTGTCCCAGCGGGCTGCAACGATCCCGATCACGCGCCGCTGCCGCCGCAGCCGCTGCGGCCTCCTCATGCTCGATGGGTCGCTGACGTGCCAGCACGTGACGTTTGGCTGTATCGGAGCGTTTGTTGCGCTCAGCGCGCTTCTCGCCGCCAGCAGAGCCGTGAGTTGAGCCTGCGGCTATGCCGGCATCAAAAGACGAGGCCTGCCAGTAAACGCGGCTCGCTGCCGGCGGCTGCAGCAAAGTGCAGGCGACATACTCCCTGGTCGCGCGCTGTATCAAACTAGATGAGTTGCTGATGAGGCGGGCATTGGAGCCACCGGAGCCGAACCCGCCGCCGCCGCCGCCGCCGCCACCGCTGCCGCCGCCGGCGGTGGCTGTGCGCGTTTGACGCACGCGCCGGACGCTGCTGCTCGAGGTGGACGTTTGTTGTTTGCGTTGTTTGTGTTGGTGATGGCGATGATGGTGATGCCGTTTACAGCACAGTTGTTGTGGTTGTAGTTGTTGTTGTAGTTGTAGAAGTTCCAGCGGCATTTTGGGATGCGGCAAGAACAGATTGGAGTGATTAGTGTCGATGCAGGCGGTTGGATGAGCGTTTGCATGGATGGTAGACAGATTGGGCACGGAACCAGTGAAGGTGAGACGGCGCAGCTGTGGCGAGAAGCGTGTGGATGCACTAATGGCGATGCAAAGCAGTCATGAGAAAGATAATGCATGAGAGAGAGACAGAGAGATAGAGAGCATGAGGCAGCCAATTGCGAATATTTTATATACAAATTTACAGAGTATGCTATGCTTATGTGGATTCAGTGTGCTCTACCTGGAACATAGAAAAAGTACCTGAGTGACTTGGAGAAGTTGATGAGCTCCGCGGTGAGGGCCTCGCGATCAAAGGGCTGCGCCTGCTGCTGACCGGCGCCGGCCGCACCAGCCACCGCCTGCAGCTGCTGATGTGGATCGCCGGGCGAGGAGCGAAAGACGCCAAAATGCTGATCCCAGCGCGTCGTCTGATACTGGGCACCTACATAGAACGGGTGCAGCAGTGAGCTGGAGCGACCCCCTCCAATTGCAGGTTTATGTCTTACCCATGCCACGGCGCTGCGAGGCGGAGCTGCCTTGATTGCTGCGCGCTGTCGTTTTGTTGCAGCTGCCGCCGCCAGCACCACGTAGACGCGCCGGCACCACCTTGGCCGCCGAGTCGCGAGCCTCAAAGGTCATCACACAGGAGGCGACCACAATGAAGCCGCCGAAACCCATGACAATGGGTCCAACATATGCGAAATTGTTCAAATGGAAGCCCTTCAGATCGTTCTTCACACGCACCGTAACATTGCCACGCAGCTCGGAGCCCATGGACAGATGATCCGCATAGTAGCCCAGCGTGGCCATGCCGGCGCCCACCATCATCAGGGCCAGGCCCAATATGAGCGCTCGACACGCGTGCCACAAGCATTTCGAGGACATCTTGCCGCGCACCACCTGCACATTCCATGTGGCACCGGAGGCCGGATGCGCCCGTCGCAGATTGCCCACCGAGTGCTTGCGCCGTGTGGTGCCAACACCACCGCTGCGACGTGACGGCATATTACAACCACATTGACGTCTCGCTTTGCGGTGTATTTATAGCCAACGAGCTGCTCATCAACGGATGCGCTGCAGGACAAACAAAAGCCGCCATTAGAAAGCCAAGCAACTGTCTCTGAATGGGACAATCAGTTCTTTGTTCTCTAAGGACAAGACATAAAAGACTGCAAGTTATTCTATAAAAAGTCAAGGCGAATATAGAAAATTGCATGGGTACGCTTCATTTTTAACTTTTAACTTGATTATAATTTAAGCTTTAAGAGAAGAGAGATATGAAAGACGGTAGGAGATTTATGAGAATATTCATTTTAATTATTATATTAAGATTACTTCACTTAACTTTCTACTCACATAAAAGAAAACTTAAGCTAACAAAAATTCATAATTTTGCTCAAGTTGCAAGACTTAGACTTTATATAAATATAATATAGCTTAAGTTAACAGACTAGACCTAAACTAAAAGTTTTCCGTTTACCGCACCACCAACTAGTTAGAGTGCTCGAATCGTGAGTGATCGACTAGAAGATACCCTCGAAGTTTTTCCTGACTTAGCCGCGGACTTAAGCAAGTTTATTTTATAAAGAAATGTTGACGGCAAGTTAATGAGATTCATATATACCTCTTTAATTTAGTGCATCTTTTTTGAACATTGATTTTTATTTGACTTGTAGCTGTTCTACGAGAGCCCAGATGAGCAAGGGGATACAGATGGATGTTTAGCACTTTTAATGGGCACTTTTATGCTCAGTAATACTTAAATTTAAACAATTCCAATTTAGTTTTTACTAATTAGAATAGAACTGGAGAGATACCAATAGGTAACAAAAGTAGTTAAGAACTCGCCACATCCACCTGTTGTTTGTGTCTTGCATGGGAAGGTCATCTGTGCGTGTCTTGGGGCTGTTTAGACAGCGCCCAGTTCAAGTGGGCGCTGCGGCTGGGTGGGTGTATGCACTCGCAGAACTAATTGTGCACACAACAAGAGTCAACAACAGCAACAACAACAACAACAACAGCAAGAGGAACAACAACAACAACAACAATGTCAGTGCCAAGTATAGCTGCGCAGAGATCTTATGGAGCAACAACAGCAGCCACTTGTAGGGGAGAGCACCCCACACCCACACGAGGCAGACAATTAGCATGAATCCCAACTCGAGGCGGGAGGCGGCCGCCTTGTGCCAGCTGAAGGATCTGATAACAAGAGCTTTTCAGGTGTGCAGACACCTGCAAATTGAACGAGGCGTGTGAGTAGCGCCTAGAACCAGCGCCAAGTTTTTCCAGACACACGTTCTTTTATATAACAATCATTTGAGAATAATTGAAAGACACACACACGCACGCACGCACACACGCACAGCATGCATAATTAATTACTTACGCGTCTGAGCTTTAGTTGATCCTTTATTTTCTCAGGCTGGCTTTAAAGGTTTTTCCAATTGATTTTCATTATTTTTGGCCTTTGTTCGCGCTCTCTTGAGTTATCTGTAATGTTTAAATTTTTTCCGTTTTTTGTTCGCTTCGCTTTTGTTTGACCTAAAACAACTTTTCTTTTCACGTTTATGTACATATGTATGTGTGTAGGTATGTATATATATGTGTGTGTGTATGTATACTTAGGTATTCATTAGAACGCTTCAATTCTCCTGTGCGTTGTGGCTGCTTTAACTTGATTGTAAAAAAAAAACTGGCCAATATCCTTATTGCTTTATCCTTTGCACGTTACTCAGGTTTTGTATGTATATTATGAGAAAAACTTAAAAATTTTTCATTCAGCTGAGACGTTTTCGCACTTTAAACTAGTTGCAGCAATTTATTCTAGCACTCGATTATAACTCTGTCAAGGATGAAGGACGTCTGCACCCGACCAGCATCCAAGCGTTTCTGATAACACAACAGCCACAACAGCAGCAGATGGAGAGATTGGTATAAAGAGAGCGCGCGGTGAAAAATGGAGAGCAAGTTGAGTGCGCTCTGCAACACTGCACATTGGCATAAAACTGATTAAAGCTGTAGGTGGCGCCATCTCTGGTTAACTACGAGCTGTTATACTTTTATACGTATAAGTGTGAGCATACAAGTGCCTCAGTATAACAGAGTAAGTACACTGAGTAAAGGATGTATTAAAAATAATCCGTTAAAAATAACGAAATATTTAGCAAAATATGTGTCGTATTATATATTTGATGCTAAAATTCATCACACTACAACTATTCTCCATTATACATTTTGTTGTATAATTAACATAAATAATTGAGAGCGACGAAACTCCAGAGCATACTCCAGAGGATTATACAGTAACGAAGGGATACCTTTGAAGGTAAAGACCTGGCTCTTAAGAGCTATAATTTAATATAAAGAGGAAGAGAGTGACACACTGCACATGAAAAATAATTAAAACAAGCAAAAATTATTTTCAGTGAATCTCAAAAACCTTAACCAAAGCGTCAAAATCCCCCTTATAATGCACTGCTTTACCGAATTTATGCCTAAGTTTGTCCCCACACAACCCCTAACAAATTCGGAGTAAATAAACTCAACACGCGCGGCAAATTCAACAAACTTAACGCAAGCGACTTTGGCCGCCCCGCATTACCCCGAGCAAAAGACGAAGCTCCGTTAACGAGACAGAGATTTCGCAGCTTTGACGAGTTCGGCAAGTCAACAACAATTCAAATTCAACAATCCACTGATTTGGCTGCCTTCAGATGGACAGTCATAAACGAAGTGTAACGGCGTGTTGACGTTTTACCCAAAAGGCGCACCCGGCTGAACGTGTCTAACGTATTCCCCGAATCTCGTCGAGTCGCATGTAGATGGCCAAACTTGCGTGTAAAATATTACAACGTGAAGTCGCAACTATTTAGATTTCATATTCAAAAAAGTTTTTGCTCTGCGTTCTGTGTGTGCAAAGGAAATGCTAATTTTTTGTGCATGCCATGAAATTGTAATAGCAACAACAAAAATAATAACAAATTCTGGCTGTGAAGTGAAAGTAGTTTTGATACGTTCTGTGCCAAGTTACACAAAAGAAATATTTATGCCAAGTTCGGGACATGATTTAGCTAAAGCTGAAAGCGCTTTAAGCAAATCACAAAGTATCGAAATAAAAACAAAAATAAAATAAATAAACTGAGCGTAGCTCATAAATGGGATTTGCTGTCGCGTTTTTATGCCCTCAAGAAAAGTTCGCGGACCCACGCGAAATTGTATCTTTAAGATAGCTTTGTTTGAATAGGAAATGCGAATGCGAAATTAAAACAATTCAATGTGGCACGGATATCGGGCTGTAAAGCCAAAAAGCCCCTGAAAAGCTGTAACATATTTTATTTTGTATTTTTTTTTTATTGGTCGGAAAACCATTTTGCGCTAATTTACATTTTTATTTTTGTTTGTGCGATTGAATGGACAGCTGCCTTGTGTGTTCTGACTTTTACAAATCAGGATATCCGAATTTATGAGAATTTGTTATGAATGCAGCACAAAAAAGGAAAACGTAAAAAACTGAAAACATGCAATGCCTAGGCCTGTCGATATTGTACAGGTTTTTGCTTTTATGCTGCTGCGCCCGTAATGTGAGCTATACACATACATATGTAAATAAATACATGTTTACGGCGTAAAGGCTGAATGGCATTTGCAGCATAAAAGCTAAAGCCCAAAACAATATCTAGTTTATGGCAAAAAAAAAAAAGGCGGCTTTGCTGTCATGGCAAGTCGAACACATGTCTGTCTCTTCTAACTACAAAAGTTATTTGGGGCAAATACAAAGCAACAAAATAACAAAAAATCACAAATATCATAGGCCCATCGCCTTCTTTGGCCAGCTTAAGCCGAATTTATTTATTGGAAATATTTTGTATTTCTAAATAATTACACAGGCTAAGCCAATTCAATTATGCATGGCGTATTATTGGCCAGTGAGAGGGAAAAAAATGTAAAACGTGTAATTGCATTAAATACTAAACAATAAACCATTTAGCGAATATTAAAATGAATAATTAAAATCGGACTGATTTCATTTAATTGGAGTGCGCGCTAAAGCCTTCACAAAAACAAATTTATTAACCAATATCAATTATCAATAAACCAAATATTATTTAACAATGCTTTAGCAACAACAACAAATGCAAATGATATAAAAATAAGCCAACAAATATTGAAAACAATAACTGTTTTTATAAGTGGCAACAAGCGGCTGGGGTCAGTGTGTGGAAACCTGGAAACCAGCTCAAATGCAGTTTGTGAAATGTGTTTTAGTTAAGCCAAATTCCACGCAGGAATTCACGAATACAAAATGCGTTTAAGTGCAACAATAACAACAACAACAACAGCAACAGCAACACGCATTAAAACCAAAACGAAACAAACGCTTCAAGCTTCAACCGCAGCAACAACAACAACAACAACAGCAGCAGCAACAACAACGAGTCCTGCAACACGCCGAACTGAATGTTTTATTTGCAATTTAATACAATTATTTATACTAACAACAACAATCGTCTGCACCGCTAGCGCCATGGGCAGTGGTTCGCTCCGGGCAGAGGCCCACTCTATGGCCAACATGGACGCGCTTCGTGGTCGCCAGCTGGAGGAGGGGCAGCTGCCAGCCGACTACGACTCCTCAATGCTAGCTGCAGCTGCAGCTGCAGTTGCCAAATTGCCAGCGGCAACAACAATGACATCCGCAGGATTTCAATTTACAACGGACACACCCACACACACACGCACACACACGCGCACACAGCAGCAGCACATGCAGTTGGCCACAACGTTACGTGTTAGCCACGGTAAGGAACCGGGTAGTCAATTGTGCGGTTATCCAGAATGTGTGCGCTATCTAAACTGAAACACCCAAACCAACCCACCCACCCTTGACGACCTTCAGCTTAGTTTTCAGTAATTAAGTCCACACCTTTGTCAATTGATGCGAGTGGAAATAGAGCTAGAGATAAAAATGCGAATCTTAGCTGGAAATACAGATATAACAATGGGAAGGAGATGGAGCTGAAGATACGGATTGACAAACAAATGCAGAGAGAGAGAGAGAGAGAGTGAGAGAGAGAGAGAGTTAGAGTTGAAGATACAGATGCATATGCAATATTTAGATACAATAAACGTTTAAGATACAGATCAATCAATCAATCCATCTTTTGCCATGCACTTTTCTCTTTCATACCGCAAGCAAATATATTTGATGGAAAATTAAGCATTTTTCGTGCTTGGTAGCAAAACATCTTGGCAAAAATGTTCCCTAGCACTTTTGTTGGCTATTATGTGTTAAATACGAGCAATAAATAAAAAATAAGTAAGATCATTGACGTGAACCATGTTATTTATAGACTCATTAATCTAAAGTAATTTTTGGAAAAGCTTACGATACTTTCTTTCCTTGATTTTTTGTGCAAAAATCGTTGGCAAAAATCGTTGGCAGCTTTAACCTAACACGAATACAGTTGACCCCCGCCGAGGAAAAACGTTGAAACTTTATTGCAACATATTAATCAAGTCTCAGTTTCAAAAAAGAAACAAAGATATGCGTGGGCGTGACGAAAACTAAATACCCTGGCAGCTGAAATTGCCAAGGATATAAATATGCCAGCTTTGTCAATTGCAAAGAAATAGGTCGAAGTCTTTTAGAAGCATCAAGCTAAAATATTCCTTGAAAGGACAACAAAAGGCAACATTAATAGGACTATAAAGTAATTCCATCTAGATGCTACCAAGTATCATGAGATTAGACTAGATCGTATAGCAACAAATACAAGTACTTAACTACGAATTCTTAAGAAGAGGACGCAGATAGTTCTGATATCAGGTTCCCAATAAAGGTTCTTAATCTAAATGCTTACAAGTTTCATTAGAATAGATCAGATTGAACCAGGCTAACTGTTTAATGCAATACCATATATCGATAACATATACGTTCTAGCTCCAGAGTAAAGTTCTTCAATGTGCCCTCAGTAATATACTTAGTATGGATTCCTTTTTAAGGGTATCAAAGGACGTCGTTTACTTTCTTTTGACTAGCTCGCCAAATGACCTTAAACTCAATTTTGTCTTGTCTTTCATTATGCGACATAGATTCCAATGAAATCGATAATTCCTATGCCGCTGCGGGAGCAGAAGCAGCTGCTGCCTTTAATGCGGATGCTGATGCTGATGCCGATGACGTTCAGAAGTCGGCCAATGATTACGTCATTGCCATGGAGCAGGAGCGGGAGCAGGAGCGGGAGCAGAGCCAGGGGCACAATATAACGAACGAGAAAAATGAGAGAAGAGCGCCAAAAGCAACGTCTGCCGCGCCGGCCGCCACAGCCAATGGCAGACAACTAATGAATGCAAAAACACAAGATTTATTGTCCTTATCGCAGCTTAGTTCGTATCAAACATCAACATCGCGAACACCAGCAGCCGCCGCTGTGCAACGCGAGAAGAGCGCATCAAGTCTGAAAAACTCCATCGGCATCGGTGGCGCCGCAGCTGGTGGCACAACATTTCAACAAATTGGCTCGCAGCGCGTCAATGGAAATGTGCCAGCGACCACAATGGCCACCACCGAGGGCTCCAGCGGCCAACAGGTCGCTGGCAATGGCTCCTTGGCAATGCCAACCCCAACGACAGCGACCGGAGCGGATAAGTCCCATGTACGCACCTCGGCCAAGAAGGTGGAGAGCAAATATATTCTGCCCAAGCAACAGAAAACCGATGCACCCATGCTCAACTATATCTTCGATACCTTCTCAGCGGCTAACAAACATCATCATCACGATCAAAGGTGGGTTCGGGTGAAAGATTTCAGTATCAATACCTTATATACTATTCATTTGAGCCTAACCTTAAACTTCACACTGAGAGAAAAAGAAGTCAAGAATCTTGTAATTCAGTCAAGTAAACCTGTTGGCCAAGTTTGGAGCTTACTTGACTTAATTACGATCATACTTCGTAAGTTAGGCAATATAAATCTTAAGATTTTCTTTAATTTATCTTCGGTTTTAAGCCCCGCTAAACTCATTACAAAATATTTGTAAAACAGTATATCGATATTTTGTTTATTATCAGTTTTTCTATTTTCTTAATACTAAATATTATTTTTTATCTATCATAATAATCAATATTTGAATCAAAGCTTTTGACCAGTTGAATGGGAAGTATTCTTATTAAATCTATAAACAGAATGAACCTTATTTCAGATCCTGGAAAATCCCTAAAAATTTCCGTATCGAGTAAAGTTTTAATATCTCAGAAGTATTTCAAATTTCCGTATCGAGTAAAGTTTAATTAACTCTATCATTATGAACCCTTTTTAATATAATTTAAAGAATAATTCTCTTTTCAATCTTAAAATACAACAAAAAGATTCCTAAATTCAACCCAATATATACTTTCATGAATTACAAATAGGCTTCTTCCGAGAAGTTCGTTTTTTTCCGAGTGCTACATTTTTTCGAAATTTCTGTTGAATTATAAATATTAAATATTTCTTGAAATTATCGGATAGGAATATTGATTAACTCAGGCTCTTAATGCCACGCCCTTCCCCACTCAGCACTTTGTCCAGTTTCTATGTAATTCGTATAAATAATAAAAAGCAAAAACCTAGAAAAACCTAATACCACTGTCCTCGTTAATAAAGTGTACATTATAGCATTTTGCCATTGAGGTTAAAGTACTCCTAGGCCTGTAATTACACAATAAATCTATAATTTTCATAATAGTTGGACTGTAAATAGAATTCAAAGAACAGTTCGCCCACAAACTCAGAAACTCAGACTGAAAAAAAGAAATGCCTAGCCCCGGCAAGCGGCAATAAAAACAGTTTACCGAACGTCCTTGCTGTGTAAAACGTGTTTAAAACTAAAGTTTTTAAGACTTTTGCTACAAGCAATAAACATTAAGCATAAGGGCACACAAGCTCCGAGCAGGGTAGTCTGTGTGTGCCTAGGCTTACCTGCATACACCTGCAGACCAATAAAAATGCATACTATAACCACATCGGTCTCTCTCTATATGTTTGTGTGTTTGTGTGTCTGCACACATTTTACTAACATCACATATGGCGCACTTTTCTTACAGATATGGCCCCCATTTTGAGGACGTGCAGCGTGTCGGACAACCCACAAATATGACTGTACAGGCGGGCAGCAGCATTCATTTAAATTGCAGAATTTCATTGCTCCAAGATAAGACTGTAAGCATTCATACTTAGTGTAAACTCGTTTGTGCCTAGCTTTAAACAAACAAAGCCCTGAAGTATAGCTAATATAGGAGAGCTACACATCAAATGACGCAACAATCTATCACATATGTTTATGAACAAATTTGAATTTATGAAAATCGAATAGAAGGGCGATATTGAAAATATATGGAGTGAGAGAGATTGAGAGAGAGAGAGAACAAGTTAGAAGGGCTGGTGGAAGAACGAGTGTAAATTGAACAAGAAATAGAGCGGGAAATGTGACTGAGTCCGGCGGAAAAAGAGAGAGAGAAAAAAGAGCGGTAGCGAGAGAAAGATAGCGGGCGGGCAAAGGATATGGATGTGCGAATGAGTCAAAGAGAAAGAACGGGTGAATCAAGGATAACGAGTATCAGCATGTTTGATTTACTCATTGCAAGATATCGACCTTCTATGCGATTCTCATAAAACAGAATAAAGTGTTATATAAGCGTATCAGTTAAAGTGACTGCGGCTAAAAGTTTACGAGAGAATAGAGAAAGAGGCAAGGAGAGAAAGAGAGATAGTGAGAGAAAAGATGAGAGCTTGACTATAAAAACATTTGAAGAAGCTCTGCATTATTGTTGTTATTATTGACAGGTCTCCTGGGTGCGGCGTAGTGCGCAAAATGAGGAGAACGCATTGGATTTGCTAACTGTTGGCCTGCACGCCTACACAGGTGATAAGCGCTATAAAATGGAATTTCAATATCCCAACAACTGGCGACTGAAAATTATAAATGTTAAAAAGGACGATGAGGCGACATACGAGTGCCAGATCTCAACGCATCCGCCCCGCGTTATACAAATTAACTTGCATGTAAATGGTAGGAAATTCTTGAAATCAACTTTCGAATTAATAAAACTAATTACGCATCGCCCTTAACGCACAGCGCCAAAGGTGATGATTGTGGATGAATACGGGGACCCATTGCAGGAGAAATACTATGAAATTGATTCCACGCTTCAGCTGTCCTGTGTGGTGCGAAATGTGGCTATGACTAGCTCCGTTGTTTTCTGGAAGCACAGCGAAAATGTACTCAATTACGATGTAACACGAGGTGGTGTTAGGTAAGACTATGCTAAACCCTTACAAGATTAACTCTTTGTTAATTGAATTTTTTTTCCCATTTATTTGCATGCCAGTGTTAAAACCGAACTGATGGAAGATGGTGCGAATTCCACTTTGTCCATTGCGAAAATTCACAAAGCTGATTCCGGGAACTATACCTGCTCCATAAGCGAGTATCAAAATTTCACGATAGTGGTGCACATACTAAATGGTAAGTTTAACCTGCCCAACAAGTATATAATATTAATAATAGCATATTGTTCGTTTAGGCGAAAGTTTTGCTGAGCTGCATCATGGTGGTGCAGGGGCCGCACATGCCACTTGGCAATATATAATCGGACTATATTTCCTGCTGCTGCTTCGATGGACCGCCAGTAGGAACGTGTTTAGATACAGGTAAAGTTAACAAATTGAACACCAAACGCCTAGTTTTATATATTATATATAAATGAAAAAATATGAAATAGGCATAAATTGTTCTCTTGGTAGTCTTCTTGTGTACATTTTTGTTAATTAATTGTAAAGATTTTGGAATAGACACATAGCGGGAAGTTATTAGAAATAACTAAAAACTAAGTTAAAATTAAAACGAAATAAGTTCAAAAAAAAAAAAGAAAACTAAACTGAATTGTTGTTATAAGCAAGTGTACTGTAAGTAAATGCCTATTTAAATCATATAATGTACTGTCTATTCGTTTGATATTCGTTAGCATCTATTTGTACATGTAAAAGCACACATAAAGTTAATATTAATATAAGTCAAATATTTGCGTTTGGCGCAGACGATGCCAACGAATTTCTATACAAACAATGAAGGAAGAAGGAAGCCGCATATGAGAATTAAAAGAACACACTTAAATACAGGAATGTAAGATAACATATGAGCAAAAGAATCTGTGCTGGGCTTTTATAAAAAAAAGAAAACGTACAATATAAGTCCCAACACCGAGGTATACACATAGTACTATTTCAAGAATACCACAGCATAAACATGCGTAATTGAACGCTTACAATATCTAGAGCATAAGCAGAGATATGATTAATAAATATAAAACTACACAATGATCAGAATAAGTTCCCCTTTACGAAATGTGACACTATTATTTATGCATTGTTTTACTGTTTAATCAGATTCAGATTTTTGAAAGCTTCAAGAATCGTAACCATTTCGTATAATTGTATTATAAGAAATTCATTTACAACTTTAACGTTACACTTTCAGTGCTTATAGCATTATAGATAAAAGTATTATCAATGGGTTTGTATTGTTTGGTAATAATCTTGATCACCTCCTGCGCAGCACATCCTCCTGCAAACAAAATAAATTGATCCATATACATGCTCCTTGACATAACCATCGTATATAGTTACCAATAAACGCAGACACAGCATGCAGCTCGGCGCCGCCGTAGCGGCATATCTCGTGCAGCACATCGTCGCTGATGGCCACATGCAGACCCAAGTCGTTCAACATTTTGCTTGTGATGCTTTTTAGACGCCCAATGTCCTGTTCTACAGTGCACTCACCGGGAATGCTGCCGCACTCGCTTAGGAAACGTTCATAGGCACGAAGAGCGAAATAGTAGACGGTTAAATTGCCCTGCAGCTCATTGTCCTCCACTACAAATCGGATTTACAGGTAAACATTGCAATTTTCGAGCTTGCACTCAAAAGGCACTTACCCAGAGGCAGCAGGCGACAGTTTTTCTCGTACTCATCGGCGATGCGAGTGCCACGTTGCACCGACAGACCGGCAGCCTCACGACACAGCAAACGCACAGTGCGCTCGTCTATGCTGTCCGCCGGCAGCGACAATTGCTTAAGATAATCTTGGCATTTGTGGTACACCTGATCGGCATCGTGCAAAGCCTGTTGACGGTAGATGTGCTGCAGTGCTATGTACGAGTCCGTATTCGCTGTCATATCGGGCAGTACGCCCGGCAGTGGCAGATAACCCTTATTTTCCTCCACCACAAAGTGCTTTAGGGCCTTCGCCATAATCCAGAAAACATCGCTCTGTTGCAAATGGAAAGTTGTTGTATGAGTTACGGACCATCCGGACTAGGCGCCTTACCTTTTTGTGTAATTGCTCACAGGCATCGTCCTCGAATATGGCCTTGAGTGAGCTTGGCACCAGGCCAGCGCCAAATACAGTGTTAACCGCCTTTATAGCCTCTTCGTAGTTTTCTTCATCCTTCTGCATTGCTGCTCCAATTGCCTCGCGTAACTGTGTCTTTTCCTTATAGTTGCCAGGCGCCTGTCGCCCAGCTCCATGCTCTGTCTGCCAAGCTTTCAGGAATTTATACAGCACTAATAGCCAGGGCACCTTGTTTGTCACCTCTGTGCTTTCTAAGTGGTCGCGCAATGCTTCAAATGGTTGCTCCAGGCGCAAATCAAACTGACGATTATCGGGATGAGCTTCTACAATGCAGTGCTCCTTCAGTTGTAGGCGTATGGAGCCCAGCATACCCAGGGAACGACAATATACAAACGATACATTGGACTCCCACAACCGGTTGGCCAGCTGCAGTAGTGACTGCTCATTCAGATTTGAGGCAATCACCAGGTCGAAGCTCTCAAAGAAATTCGCCCGATTTTCCAATATATAGTCAATACTCTCATCTACATAATCACCATTGGCATCCGGATTGAGCTCCTGCAACAGCTGTTTGCAAGCAAGTGCCTTCGATTTACCCAGGAAGCTATAATCTAGAAAAAAGCTACTCTCCAGCTTTTAGTCACCACAATTGAACAGAACATATTTTGTTGCCGACTTACTTGTTGCCCAAATCCTCCTCCTTTACAGTGCTGCCATCAGCCACAGTAAAGCCTCCAATACCCGGCAGCACAAGTCCCTTCGCTACCTCGCAGCCTACAGCCGTCACATTGACCAGGCAAATTGTGGCCGTCTCCAGCAATGTCTGTCCGTGGTCACCCCACAGCCTGTTGGGGTCATGTTAGGCCAATCACAATGTTTGAGCGTGTTAACATAATTACCTGATTTGCCTATCATATTTTTTGCTTTTATCTGATAATTCAGGCGACTTTGGTGGTGCAGGCGAAGACATTTTCCAAGCCGGTAGCAAAAAAATAATTGCGAGTGTTGCAAAACTGGCACATTATCGTGTGTTATCGATATATGAATTTACCCCTTAATAAAAGGCGCGAGTTGGATTTTTAAGGATTTATTTATTCATACGTGTTACATTTCACATAATCATGGTTCTGTTTTTGATTTAAAATTTATTGCGTTCAAGTTTGTTATCTTATTCAACTACATACAAGAAATCAGTCTTTACAAACAAATTGTAATAACATAGTTTTTCTTACATATCGGCCTAAATAATACCAAATTGTGAGCAAAACCATAAATGTTTTAGGGACGTAATAATAAATTTAATTAGCTATTGTAGATAATCATGTTAAAATTGTAATTTTTCTATAATTTACTGAAGTCGATAAATTAATTGTATAATACCGCATCTCTATTTGTTCTCATGGGCAATGAGTGCTGTCGCTTTACAACACTTGCTCCAAGAGGGCACATATGTTTTACAATTACGCTTTGGTACATCATTCGCGTTGTAATTTCACAACGGCTTGTGTTTGTTTGCTGGCTACATTTTTCAACTGGTAAAAGGAAACGACATAAAACTAAATACAAATTAATATTATCACCGAGAGAATGCCAGCCAGAAGAAGCACTGCAAAACCGTCCACAAGCAGCGGCAGCACGGAAACAAGTCCACAGACAGAAGATCCCAATTACAAGTTGAAAAGAAAGAAGAATAACGAGGTAAATGTAAATAAAATGGTCGACAATGTTGCTAGCCTAGATGAGCGACCCCCTAAAATAGCATTTCGGAAATTATTATCTGTAGGTTTCTGTATTCTTATAGGCAGTGCAGCGCACGCGTGAAAAGACTAAAAAAACCGCCGAGGAACGCAAACTGCGAATCGACAACTTAAAAAATGAGAACTTAAAACTTCGGGCAAAAATTGATTCAGAAAAGCAACACATTAAAACACTGCGAGAAATGATAGTACAAGGCAAAAAGAATGAAGAACAGGATCGCCTCATAGATGAGATATTAAATAAATCCACAGACGACGAAGACGACGAGGACATCAAACCAAAATGACTAACGAGCAATTGTTCTTAATATACATAATACTATTTTCATATTTTTAAGTAATTCCCCTCTACTAACCGTCATAGACATCGAGCTTTTCCATGTGCAGTGAAAAAACTTCATCCATTTTTGGTTGTTAAATGTAATAAACCAACGCGAAGTGTAATGCAAAATTCTTTTGTTGCTTGCGCCAATATCCCGTTACGGCTGCTCAGTCTTCTGGTCTTTGTTGTTGTTTCTGTTTTGCTCACTTCCGCCTTCACACTGCTGGGCATTGATTTATTGCACTTTTCATGTGTGTATGTGTGTGTGTGTGTACACGTTATATTTAGTCTTCACTAGTTTGCCGAACTGCCGAGCATTTATTTCGTATATAAATACGTTCATTTATTTTTTCATAATCGGCCGAAACTGAGAAATCAAAACTGGAACTGTAACATATAATTAGCACCCCGGCAGGTCTTGACAGCAAATTTTGGTACGAGAAATGTCACATGCCAAATTCCCAATGCCAATTGCATAGCCTGCTCCAAGTTTTAATTAAATGGCAGGTTTAATTGATGCTGTGTGTCCGCCTAGAAAAAATGCTGTTCTTCTGTAATCACACGGCTGGCCATGCCATTTACTTATTTGTCTATTATTCCATTTATATTTCACGTAACTTGTTTTTGTTGCTTTGTTGTTGCCCCATGGCCAGTTTACAGAATCCGACGACAGACAGCTGTTACTTAACAGTGCCCCTAACAGTGATAAATAAAATTCAAATTATTTAATGTTTAATTCATGACCAACAACTGTTGTTGAATTAGTAGTGCAAAACATTACAAATATTATTGGCTTGTTAAAAAACAGTTTTTTCTATGTGAGAAGAAACGAATTTTTTTGTCCTTTGCTTTTTAAAGTGCTGAAAAATGTTATAAACAAAAAATTAATTAGGGCTGCATTGAAGTAAATGTCGATAAATTGAAATACGTGCGCCGTCAAAAATCATATCAAACAATTCAAATTTGTGTTTTTTGTTTTTTTAGAATGTTACAAAATTTAAAACAGTAATAATGCTGCTGCCCTTGAATGATTTTGTTCCCTGTCTTCACGCCAACTCTAAAATATACCTGCTGAAGCGTCAAATTGCTGAGAATGGAACAGAAACACAATCCCAGCTATTTCAAGCGTTCCGATCCGAGGTTGAATGCACGCGATATCTCACCAACGATGAGCCCGAATAGGGGAGGATTGGGGTTCTCGGACAAGGATACTAAAGATTACATTGTGGAAGAGACCCCCCGTCAAAACAATGCCAATGATACTCCAAAACACAAGCCAAAGGGTCTTCGCGGCTTCCGAAAGTTCTTACCATTTGGCTCTGGAAACAAATCCACAGTTCAGTCTAGTAAGAAGCGCACGGATCAAATAGAAACACCTCTCGAGGACGCTGATATACGCAAGCTGATAAGTCTATATTCGACATACGAGAATCTGTACAATCCGAAGAACCCTCAGTATGGCAATAAGCAAATTGAAAATATTTACTTTTCAGACATGGCGCGCTCGTTCCCAAACCAAACAGGTCCAACAATCCAAGCTTGTCTGGAGGGGCTGCGCCTGTCCTTTGCACGTGAATACGCCATCATTGAGAATGCGCGTCGTCGGTATGGCGAAATTTTGACGCCTTCGATTAAATACTACAATGAGTTTCTGTTTCTGGTGCCCTTTATCAATATTAACTTTGACGACACCAACGAAGCACTGCGATATGAACAGCCGATAGGCCACGATGGGTCAGCAGCTGGCTGTGGGCCCAGCAAAATACGCACATCTGCGAGCAAAGCCTGGAATCCGATGGGCTTGAGCTACATTAAAAATAAATACATTGTTAATGCTACGCCTGTGTCTGGCATGCAATTCTTTGGAACGAAATCGAAACATAAAGCGCAACCGGAGACCATTAGCTTGAACACAATGTATGTCAAGCGCTCACGCAAAGGAGAGCAGCCGGTACCGGAACAATCAGTGCTGGAAGCGCAACAGCAGCCACCGGCGCTAGAGCAGCGGAAACCTCAGCAGCCGCCAGAACAGTCTGGGCAACAGCAGTCGCCGCAGGGCCTGTCGCAGGAACATCAGTCTGGGCAACATCATTCGCAGCAGCGCCTGTCGCAGGAACAACAGCCCGGGCAACATCATTCGCCGCAGCGCCTGTCGCAGGAACAACAGCCTGGGAAACATCATTCGCCGCAGCGCCTGTCGCAGGAACAACAGCCTGGGAAACATCATTCGCCGCAGCGCCTGTCGCAGGAACAACAGCATGGGCAACATCATTCGCCGCAGCGCCTGTCGCAGGAACAACAGCCTGGGCAAAAGCAGACGCCGCAGCGGCTGTCGCAGGAACAACAGCCTGGGCAACATCATTCGCCGCAGCGCCTGTCGCAGGAACAACAGCCTGGGCAAAAGCAGACGCCGCAGCGGCTGTCGCAGGGTCAACAGCCTGGGCAACAGCAGACGCCGCAGCGGCTGTCGCAGGAACAACAGCAACAGCGGCAGAGCGAATCGAGGCCAGTTGATGCCGAGCAGCAAAAACGAGTTTCGACAACTGAGTCTCAGCGGCAGTCGGCTCAGCTAGAGGAGGACAATAAAAAACGTGCTTCGCAAGCTGGGCTAGAGAAGAAAGAAACATGTGATTGTTCAGGTCATGAAGAAGTAGCTAATTCAGGAAGCCTTGAATGTAAAGGGACCTGTATTCAAAATCCGCGCTACAAGTGTATTGCAGTCATTAAAGCGCCAGGTCAAGCCGACTTTAGTGAAGATCCCCGTATGTCGGGTGTTGAAAATAACCGCGAGGGTCGAAATTCGGGGTATTCGAATGGCCAATCTCAAGGATCTCGGGCAAGTCAAGAATCACGTAAATCTCAAGACCAGCGCGGTCTACCGCCCGAAACTTCTAGAGACCAGCAGGTGGCCATGCTGCTTGACTTAATACGAGCGGAGCTCGATTCCGCCCCAGACTTCATTTTCTTCGATGCCAAGTGGCGCATTATTGAAATCCTGCGGGAGGTTAACAAACGTCATATGATTCACAAAAAGGGTGATCCGTCACAATGTACATGCGCTCCATGTGAATGCGGAAACGTTCCCGAAGCAAAAAAACCCGGACCTTCCCGGCCACTGCCCCACCTTAAATCCCACGGCTGCCCCTATTGTTCCGATCAACGTAGGCGGTAAAATCGCAACTTTAGCTCGCTTATCAATCAGTTTTTCGACGGCCCTGACCAAGTTTCGTTAGATAAGAAAGAGATGTGCTTCGTAGCTTATCGCTCGACAGTCTTCCCGCAGCTGCAGTCCAAGATGGAAGCACTTCTAAGCAGCTGCAAGCTGTTCAAGCATTGGCCGAGCATTCTGCTTGGTTTACTCGTCGCGTTGGCCATTAAATACATCAAGACCTATCGAAAGCGACGATTAAGGACTTCGAGCTGGGAACAGTTGGAGGGGACAGAGAATGTTGCAGGTAGCTAACCTATACGAGGCTATCTGTAAGATCGCAAGTCTATCAAGTTCAATCTTTCACAGTTGAATTCACGCTGGCTGATTCTGCCATTCAGCCCGCCTTGGAGGAGAAGCCACATGTGCCATTTGTACCTGGCCATAATCTTAATCCCAATGGCGGCAGGCGTTTCTATGAGCTGATGCGTGGTCGTCGCAGTGTACGTGCATTTAACGCCAACATTAAGCCACCAATAGATGTCGTAGAGGACTGTATACGCGCTGCAGGCACTGCGCCCAGCGGCGCACACACCGAGCCTTGGACGTTTTGTGTGGTCGAACAGTTGGCAGTGAAGCAATCTGTGCGCGAGATCGTGGAGCACGAGGAGCAGATAAACTATAGCACACGCATGCATGCACAGTGGGTGACGGATCTGCGACCCTTGCATACGAATGCAGTCAAGCCATATCTCACTGATGCGCCCTATCTAATTCTAATCTTTAAACAAACGCACGGTACCACAACAGATGGACGCAAGAAGCTGCATTACTATAATGAAATTTCAACGTCCATTGCTGCCGGGATACTACTGTGCGCTCTTCAAGCAGCTGGACTTTGCTCGCTAGTCACAACTCCCCTTAATTGTGGGCCTGCTTTGAGGCGTTTGCTCGAAAGGCCAACGAATGAGAAGCTGTTAATTTTGCTTGCTGTTGGTTATGCGGAAGACAATTGCAAGGTACCAGACTTGGAACGCAAAGGACTGCAAAGCATTATGGTTAAATATTAAATTGTTCATGCCAGATATCTCAAAAAATCACAGTAAACAAATTTGAATCTGTTTCAGTATATACTACATAGCTATTTTTAATACTAAGCATTAGGCAAAATGCTAATGTGCATACTAAGCTTCAGGAGCACATTTCAATAATTTGTGGTGGCTTGGTCGATCCGCATCAAAAACCTATCGATTCCATGGCTTCTGGAAAGGTACGTCAGCTGTTTAATCATTTACTGTGAATGGTCACCGATAGGCCAAGCCCTATCTATCGATGTGAGTATGTTCATTATTTTAATTTTACTAACTAATTCCAAAATCGTACAAGAATATGAATATATGCTTTGAATTGGGGCACGTACAATTTTTTCTTTTTATCTTATAGTAATAGTTATTAAAACTCGATCGTGCCCCATTGGCTAAATGTACCATCGATATATATTAAGCGTTGTCACGTATCGATAACAGCACATACCAGTTCATTTTATAAATAACTTCAATGTGTTCGGTCGCGCTGTCGGGAAATTATCGAAATTACCAAAGAACCCAATGAGTTAATAAGTAAATATTACAATTTGCTTTTATTCATATATAGTTGCAGCCGATCGTGTACAATGCGGGCTTAAATATACCTGATAAATTATTATAAGCGTGTGCTTTATTGTCGATGCAACAGCAAATAAGTGGCAAAGAATGAGAGCGCAAAGCAGATGGCAAAGAGCGTCGCGCCGCATTGGTGTTGGTTTTATGTGCGTGTGTGTATGTGAAGTAGAAAGCGGCGGTAAAAACTTGTAAAATCCACACGTATTATACATACATATAATAAAATTAAATCTTTTTTAATACCGCCAAAATCGATTTCATCGTCAATTGGAATTTTAAATAAATCAGGCCTATTGCACTGTAGAATCTGCAAGTCAAAACAAAACAACCGTGAAACGTAGCCGAAAAACGCCTGCGTGCTTGTATGTGTGTACGAGCGTAATAAGAAAGACCCATAGCAAAAAAGGCGAAAGAAAAATAGTGCATACGAAAAGCAGGCGCAAAACGCAATTGATGAAATTTGTGATTATCACAAATTCGTATTAACAAATGGTTGAATAATATCTAAACCAAGGGTTTAAAACTAAATAAAAAATAAAAATATATACAACAACTTATTATATATATATATATGCAAATAATAAAACGCATGGCATCCAACATCTTTAAACGTGTTCAAACATAATTGTGCTTAAGTGTTGTTGCCGACATATTTGCGCCTTTTATTGCTCTGAGGTGAGTTGTAGTTGTTTTTTCAGAGTTTTTTGGTCCGTGCTTGTGTCCAAACTGTACTAGAGATGAGCGCGTGATGCATTCGTGTCTGTGGATAAACAAAACCCAATTCGACCAAATGCAATTATTGTAATTGAATTTATTACTTTATTATTATACAAATTAATACTGAGTTGGTCTTCATAAAATATTAAAATCTAGTGAACTCGGTTTTTTTCAAACATTACAATATCGATAAAAAAAAAAAAATAATTCTGTTCGTTCTTTAAATTTAGCCGACACGCGCTCATCTCTAGTCCAAACTGTACCATATTGTTGACTAACTGGCAGACTCGCATGAGAGAGAGAGAGCGCGCGTAATAATTTTCGATTGCACTCTACAGCTCCCACTCGCCCGTTCGGCTCCTAAGCGACATGTTAATCAGCTGCTGCAAATCGCCCTAAACAGTTATTGCAATTAGCATCTACAACTTGCAACGTAAAGCGTAATACGCCGAAGAGATTCTGTCACTTAAAATGAGTCGCCTACAGAAACAGCAATCACAACATCAGCGCAACCAGTGCGAAATTATAAGTAGCAACACCAGCGGTGCAAAGAGCAGACGAAAACAACCGCCGCCAGCACCTCCGCTAGACGATAGTGAAATGCGTTCAGCACAGCTCGTCAATGGACACACGATGACGGCCAACGGTAATAGTAAGACGACCAAACGACGACGACAGAGTGACGATGAGCCCTTGCAGCACTTGACCAACGGAGTCAGCAGCAAAAATCCGAAATTGAAGCATCAGCAAAACGTCGTGGAGACAAGCAGCAGTTCTGGGTCCTCCAGTGGGCAGCGGAAAATGAACAACGGCAAAGCTATGAACCACAACAATAACAACAACAATAATAATAACAACAATAAGAAACAGAACAACAATGTTAGCAACGCAAACGGGAGGCAATACAGCAACAACAATAATAACAATAAGAAGAAAAAGCCAAACGTAAATACCAATACAGCAACAACTACACGAATGGAATACAGTTACCGTAAAAACATATCCACAATACCGACGCCGCCCTCGCCAGCCTCACCGGCCTCTCCGCCGCCTCAGAGTGCTGTGGCAGATGTTGTATGTATTTCGGATGCGGAGAGCGACGAGAATGAATGCATCGAATATTACGACCAAGAAACGGAGGAGGATAGCGACCTGGAAATCGATGAATCGCCCACCACTAGCAACATCAGGAAACCCAAAAACAACAACAATGCGGCAGCGGCTGCAGCTGCAGCGGCGGCGGCAGCAGCAGCAGCAGCAAAAAAAGCAGCTACGCAACCCACAACATATGCAATGCCAACTAGCAACAGCACGCCATTGGATCTAGAAAATGAGGGGCATCAACGGGATTTGGAGAACGTGACCGACCTGCGTTCCTATGGTGAGTAAATGCTTTTAAGTCTAGACTTGTATCTACAATTGATTTGGGGGAGTTGGGGAGGTAATATGGCCTGGTCAATGCAGCGGCATCGACCTCGTCCTTTCCAATCCTTTTAAAGTGAGGCACATGCATTCAACCTTGACACACTTGCGCAAACACATACATGGTATTATTTGGGTGTTTGTTGCGTTGCCCCACTGCAATTCACCCCAAAACGTAACTCACCTGAACTCACCACACCACGAGCAACATTTCACGTTCAGACTGTTTGGCTATTTGCATATGTAGGTGTGTGTGAGCATGGCCATACATACATATAAGCAATTGATTTACTTGAACTTGACAATGCAACTGTCCCAGCAACCACTACATACATATATACATATTTATGTAAAACGTGTTAGCCTTTGCGCCTTATTGTCAATTTGTAATTTACATTTAAGAGTGTGTAACAACTTGATGTCAAGTCGGAGAGAATATTGTTCTTGTTGACCTCCCTCTTTCCGCTGCAATTTGTTATAGTGCGTGCAGCAGTCGACAGATCGTGAACTAGCTGTCTCACTGGAGAGCGCAAATATACTCTCCATAACGGTTCTTAAGTGTGTGCGTGTGCTTGAATGTGTATGAATGTCGCGAAGACAGCTGTGCGTGTTCTGTTGTGTACAGCACCGCACCCGATTTAAAAAACTTCTAACAGGCGAACTTTTTTAACAGCGGCAATAGCTCATTTACATGGATCTGCCAGATAACCATGTAAATAACATGACTACTTCGGATTTAATTAAAAGCAATTTATTTAAACTCCAAGATACTTTAATCGTTTTAACGACTTCGAGCTGTTTATCATATATTTGGAATACTTATTTTCACATTTTTCGCGTTCTTTAAACTTTGGCTAGTCGACAAAAAAAACAACTCAAACCGCATTGAGGTTAAACAGTTTAAAAGCCTGCTAAAAGATACATGCACATGTTTGTATGGACGAATATGCACGTTTGTATGTAACGATATGGTTCATCAAGGCCAAAAAGTGCTTTTTGAATGTTTTGCGGTTTAAAAATAAATCGTACTAATAAAAATATTATTAAATTATTTAATTTATAGATGAAAAGCGTGAATATTGTTAAATGTTCCATTTTTGATGGTTATTTTCATAGCAATTGCTGGCAATTATAGAAAAACATGTTTTCCGTTGGTTTTTTGCTCCATTGCACATTTTATTGTAATTCTTGCTCGCATTTTTGTTTTGTTTTGTTTGTAACACAATTCCTGAAAATTTAAGAGATACTTTAAACAGTACATGAGGTTGTTATGATATCCAGAGAATTGTTAGGAGAAATATTCATGTTGTTATAGTGTTTCCCTACTTTTTTCTCAGATTGCCTGCTAGGTTGCGTTTTGTTGGATCAATAATTTTGCTAGCCATTCAAAAACATATTTTCGTTGAAGTGCTGTTTGTTTTTAATATGTTCTTGGCCACCCAGGAGGGGGAAAAAAGCTATCACTACTAAGTTCATTGCACCTTTCCCAAAAAAAAGGGACCGTACGTAACTTTTCGGGACGTGTTAGCAACTTGGGTTTGTTAATGAAATATTAATAATATGTGCAACTGGTTTATTGAAACAACAATTATTAGCAAGGTAATTTCATTAACCTCTGGTTTGTGTCAATGTGCTGAGCATATTTCACAACAAGCTGAAATTTCGATTGAACCAGTAGAAAAGGGGTTGAATGCACACGAAGAGCTGTTCATTTTATTTCACCTTACTTTTTTCTCGTTTAACTTAACGTTAAGTTCATAAGTATTTCAATATGTTCGAAGAAATGACTAATCCTATGAATGAAACGTTAAACACACAAAACAAAAAGGCCACAGGTTCAAGGACAAATGTCCAGCATTGGCATTCAACTCGCTCTCTATCTATCTTTTGCTGGCGCTCTTTTCTGTCTGCCGCAGGCTGCTTGTCAACTGCGGAGTTTATTTCTGCAAATGTTAACACTGAGTGGGAGAGGGAAAATGAGAGACGGCAAACATATTAGTCACTTGGGAAATTTGATTAAATATGCGCAGGTTTGTTTGCACACAATTGGGCTATATTTTTTTTTGTAATTTTCCATGCCTAATGTACAAATGTCGTCTGTACGCGTCACTGTAACTGTAAATTGCCAAAATGCGAGACAGGGCCAATGAACCGTTAAGGCTACCGTCATCGAGAGATTGAGTAGAGAGAGTTGGCTGGCGGGTTGCCTCTGATTGGCTGCTGCGCATTCTTCTGCTCTTGCACAGACGATTGACGTTCTTAGTGGGTCAGCCACCTGCTGCAATGACGCCCGACGCTCTTTGTTGTTGTCCTTATAACGTTTTCATACAATATACTTTAATATGCCTATAAATACATATACGTGTGTGATATATGAACGCTGATAACAGAGCGAGTGATAGTTCGCTCTGCTTACATTTCAATGCATACACTTTTATAGTTTAGCTGTTTATATCAAGTGTCGCACGTGCTGCTCAGCTGCATACCGAATTGCGATAATGCTTATCACATGCTACAGAATAAACAATTGTGTAGTTTTCACCAGCTCCACAGCACACCACAGTCTGCGTATGTGTGCAATGCACATATATCAGTATGTGTGGCCATTATCGTTTTTCAATGTGTGTAGCTCTAGTCTTTTGCTGTTTTGTCTTTTGAGCTTTATTCTTAGTTATAAGTGCTCTCATTTCTTATGCTAATCAATCTGCATTTCAATTTTTCTTTCACAGTCAAACTTTATAGCGATGAGCGCGTGAGTTTAAACGACTTTAAAATCATTCGCGTGCTTGGCACGGGAGGTAAGCATCAAATAACTGATCAAACTAATATCAAGTTTATATAAACATTTATTTCTATTTTTCTGTAGCTTATGGACGTGTTTTCTTGGTGCGTAAACTGACCAGACACGATGCAGGCAAATTGTATGCCATGAAGGTTCTCAATAAGATTACAGTAGTGCAAAAGCGCAAAACGGCTGAGCATACAAAAACTGAGCGTATGGTAAGTAAAATGTACAGAAAAGAGAAATGGTCAAAGCAAATTACAAAAAAAAAAACATAAGAAAGCCCTTACGATGATACGATACGTGCCCCATTCCAAGTTTTTTTTGCCATTGCATCTTTCCCTTGTCATTTATCATGATCAAAAAGCGCAGATAATTGAAATAAAACCTTCAGTTGCTGCACGTACACAAAACAATAAAAAAAGCTAAAGGAAAGAAAAAAGAGGCGGCAGCCAAAAACTTTGCAAGAATCAAAGCGTGCTCGTGACACTCGTACAAAAACACACTCGCATGACACAAGCTCGCTCACCGCTCGCTTAACTTGTTGCACCGGCGAAAAGCTAACGGATTACCAAAGATAGTGGTGGAGACAGGTAGAGAGAGAGAGCCAAAAGAGAGCAAGCTGATCTACCACATATGTATGTGTGCATATGTATGCATGTATTCATTTTGTGTGTGTGTGTGCAATCCACAACCGGTTAGCGGCATTGAAAATAGAAATCCTAATGCAAAACTTGGTTAAATAACTGCAAACAGGTGTAGGTGGCAAGCGAGAACAGCAGAGAGTACAAACTAGGCAACAAGGGCAATTTTCGGCGAAAAATTTAAAAAGTATACAATGCGTTGGCTTGTTACCTCTTTACAGATAAACGAGACGCAGACACACACACGCAACTTACATTTTTCAAGGTACATAAACAACAACGACGAATATGACGCTTGTGCTACTAACCTAGTTATTGACATAGTTAAGCAGTATAAGTGTGTTAGTGTGGGGAGGGGTGGGGTAAATAGGGTAGGGCCGAGGAAGAGGAGGCTTATATACCGGCTGTAGTATACAAAATTTCCTGCTTGCGCTGGCATCGCCCTGCGTTATGTATTGCTGTTGTTGCTTTAGCCAAAAAAGGAAGGGAATAAAATCGTGAAATGTGAAAGTTGTGTGTACAACCAGAGATGCTTGACAATTGTCTATGAAGGCAAAAAGAGAAAGATGAAGTAATTTCAATATGAAATTAAATTGTACAAAAATATCTTTTCACTTTTGCGCCGCCACCAAAAAACCTACTACTATGCATATATGTACAATATATATCTAGTTAGCATATATATGAATGTGTTTAAGAGGCGTAGGGCAATTGTGGTATGTTTGGGATATTCGTGTTGGGGAAATTCCCAAACAGCTGTTGTGTACAGTTAGCTCCTCAATCGTATATAGCAACAACAAAACAGCGCACAACTAACGAGCGCCGAACGAAATTAATAAACAAAGCAGTAAGTAAGCGTAAAGATAAGGCAAAAAAGCTTTAAAGCAATGTGGCAAAAGTCATCGGCAAATTATTCGATAAGCGGCAGTGCGACCGTTTCTTTTTGTTTATAATGTATTCAATACAAATGTTGTAAGTTTAAATACAAATATACTAGCAAAAAAGACTAATTCAATTCTCTTTGAATATTAAAGGTTCTCGAAGCGGTGCAGCGCAGTCCGTTTCTGGTTGGCTTACACTATGCATTTCAGTCATCATCGAAGCTCTATCTAGTGCTGGGTAAGTTATAAATGCTCCATCATTGCCACACGGCCTATTGACTTAGCGTTCTTTTGTTTTTGCAGACTTTGCCAATGGCGGGGAACTTTTCACACATCTCTACCATGCGGAGCATTTTGAGGAATCGCGTGTACGGGTTTACATTGCTGAGGTGGTACTGGCGCTGGAGCAGCTGCATCAGCTGGGCATTATATACCGTGACATAAAATTGGAGAATATTTTATTGGATGGCGATGGTCACATTGTGTTATCCGATTTCGGCCTGTCCAAAATACTCACCGCCGAGAATGAATATCGTGCACACAGCTTCTGCGGCACATTGGAATATATGGCTCCAGAGATAATACGGACTGGGCCCCCGGGTCATGACAGTGCTGTCGATTGGTGGTCGGTCGGTGTGCTGACATTTGAGCTGCTGACGGGCGCCTCACCATTTGCTACCTCGGATGGCCAGAGTCAGCAATCAGAGATTTCACGTCGCATACAAAAGGAACAGCCGTTGATACCATCGTCATTTAGCGCAAATGCCCGGGACTTTGTGCTCAAGATGTTAGAGAAGAATCCAAAGCGTCGACTAGGCGGCAATCATCGGGATGCCAGCGAGATCAAAGACCATCCGTTCTTCCATGGCATTAACTGGCAGGATCTGCGCGCTAAACGCCGCAAAGCACCTTACAAGCCAACACTCAACGCCGAGGACGATGTGCAGAACTTTAGTAACGAGTTTACGGATCAGTTGCCCGAGGATCCCGAATGTGATGCACCGCCCGCACGCATACAACTGTTTCGCGGCTATACATATGTGGCGCCTGAGCATTTGGAGCAAATGCGACGCGACAATCTCTGCCAGATTGAGTACTGCAATCCTAATTTGCAGGTGGGTTGTCATACCTGTCTCATTTGGTCAATTCAAACTAATCATATCGCTTTGCAGAATATACCTTCACGACCAGATGATCTTGAGTTGGGCACGCAGACTGTAAAGGGCTCCTATGGCACCTGCTATTTTGTGGTGGACGCTTCGGATATTGTGTTTATGGCAAAGGTCATACCGCTGTCCAAGTTTCGGGCCTCCGAAATAGATGCACTTACATCATGCGCCTTGGACTCGCACTGTCACCATAACATTGTGAACTATCATGGCACGTTCCGTGACAAGTGTGAGGTGTGGATAATCCAAGAGTATCTGTGTGGCGAGGAGCTGGCCGCTTATCTACAGAGCACAACGCTCGACGAGAACAGCTGCCGTGACATCTTTCTGCAGCTAGTACAGGCTGTGCAGCATGTGCACTCCAAGCATTTCATACACGGGGATATCAAGCCGGAGAACATAGTGTTTGTGAGCCGTGACAGCATGGATGTAAAACTGGTGGACTTTGGCAATGCCTGGTAAGATTAAAACGCCTGCCTTGACTTCAAAACCTTCGCTCACCAACAAATCATTGCAGCTACAATAGTCGCTTCCAGAGCTGGCGGGACAAGCCGCGCTATACGTTAGACTATGCGCCGCCGGAGCTTTTGAAGGATCCCAATGTAGTTACATATTCGCCAGCTGTGGATGTTTATGGTCTTGGCGCGACGCTCTACACAATGTTTATGGGTCATGCGCCCTATCGCCTCTACCTGGGTGACTGTGATCATGGCCCCGACGTGCATCATAAGCTGCGTAAACGCATGGAGAAGGAGTCATTCAATCAGCGCTCCAAGCGCTGGGTAAACTCAAGCTTGGAGCTCAAACAATTGATCAGCTGGTGCCTACAGAAGGATCCAGCAAAACGGCCCAAGTTGCGCGATATAATGGACAGCGATTGGGTGCAACAGAATAACGATCCCGATGTAGACATAATACCACCGCCCGAACAGGTTGTGGTCGACTTGAGCGAAGACACCATGGAGCAGCCAGTTGAGTTGTCCATCAAGCAGGAACACCAAAAACAGTTGATTCTCATTATGGAACAAAGGTCGGCCGCAGAGATGCGCATTGGTGCTGAGTTATCTGTCGGCGAGTCTGCTGAGGAGCTGCCAGCGGATCAGACGTCCAACGAGGATGTTATGCAGGGCGTTTTTGATCCGGACTTTGAGGCGCTCACCGACTTCCATGGCTTTGATGAACTTGCGCCGCCACTGCGACTGCCCTCTGAGTATTATACTGAGCTGCCGCTCCCACATCCACACGAGTGCAATGTTATTAACAATCCAGAGCCCGCAGCCCTTATGCTGCCACCACCTGCTGCACGTCCGGTGCGAGCGCTACCTACAATTGTCTCGCCGGCTGAAGCAAATAAACGACCACGCACTCGCCAACAACGCCGAACTGAACTGCGACAAACAGCGGAAACGCTGCCGGAGCAGGAGGATTCAAAGGCTGGACTGTACCGGTTGATACAGCAGCTGCCACCACTGGTGGATGTGTTGCCTGTGGCCAAGCCAAGTGCATCGCCCACGAACAGCCGGCGCTCGCCGCGTCCTCTGAACGATCTTTGTGGCTTTGGCAAGGCGAAACACACATGGCGCAAATCGCGCGCCAGCTGGCGTCACTTCTGTCTGCTGCTCAATGGTGTCCAGCAGGTGCTCAAGCATCGTTTCAAGAAGGAGCGACGCGTCTACTGCGGGGTAACAATCAAAGCAGAGCGCCTGGACGAGGCGTACGAGAAGCCATTGATATTCCCGCGACCACGGCCACCGGCGCAGCGCAAGGCCAAGCGACAGCCCAAAGTGCCACGTCCACCCACACGTGTGCAGCCAGAGCGAGCGCGTGCGCTGCGCCAGCGCTATGTGTTTGAATGACACTCACTGGAACCGAAGGTCGAGCCGGCAGTAACGACTGTCATCGACGAGGAGGAGAAGCAGCTGCTGCAGGCGGTGCTCGTAGCGGCCAATGGAAGGTGGACGGAACGGCAAAGGCAACGGCTGCAGCAGCGCAGCTGACGGCAGATGAGCGATTTGACTCTGACCTGGACACGGAAAACGCTGGACGGAAGACGATTACGACGGCGCAACCAGATGGCAACAATATAATAAACACATACACGCAAATACACAAACACACACACACATACATGCATAGATGTATAGATGATGTTGAATGTGGGCCTAACGGATCATTGAGCAGCACCAAAGATCCTGTCAATAGAGATTTAGAAGTTGTTATTGTGTAATGTTTAAGTATAAGTTGAATTTGACTTCGATTAATTATTGAAATATTTAACTCCGCACACACACACACACCTATATACAACATAACAAGTTTCGTTGTTGTTGGATTAGTAATTAGTAGCGTAATGTACAGTCATAAACAAAAAACAAAAAAAAAAGAAAACAACTTTTGTAAACTCTTGAAGAAAAATGGTGGCAAATGTAAATTTGGTAATTGTAAATTTTTTTTGAAAATAACGTATATTAAAACAAAAAGGCATACAATTTTGAAAATTAGTTAAGTGCAAAGATAGTTAATTAAGCTATTTAACGAAAGGAGATCTAAACGCATACATATTAATAGTCTTATATACATACATATGCATACATATATAATATTAAATATTACAAATAATAATATGCTTTAAGTTGTGCTCTATGTTAAGTTTAGAAATAATTGTTAAACGTCATGCATCCGCAGCAACAACAATAAGTATAACATAGAAATTAAAAGTGAATTGTTTTTGAAATTTACTTTTTCATATTTCCATCGATCTGCAGCAAATGAAAGAAAATTCTTTTGAAATTTGCTCGATGTGAGAAAAGCGCATTGAATATTCACAGTTGTCTATATAATTTAATTATGTCAAATCTCCTAATTATGATTGACTTTCAAGCATTGCTATATAATTATTATATAGCATTATTTTAATTTAACTTTACCTATATTGTTAACTGATGTTTTCTTTGATTTGTTTTACACATTTTGTTTTGTTAGCCGAAAGAAAAGAAATTGAAATTTCCCCAAATCTCCCCAACACATAAAACTTAAAAGCGTTTAACATCTGTATGAATTAAAATGAAATAAATGTAAATGCAAATTAAAAAAAAAAGAACACCAATTTATATTTTATTTGTTTTTAAACTCTGACAACAAACAAAACACACATATCTACATTTTTTTATTGAAAATATTGAAATTGTGGAAAGGCGAAGAACAAGAGCTCATGGTCCCGAAATTGTTAAGTGTAATAATATATGAAAGTTGCCTTTTAACACGTTGCCTTAGAAAATAAACAACAAAATATGAAAATGTTAAACCAAATCTCCAAAAAAAAGAAGAAAAGAAAACATAAATTACCACTTAGCGGAAGCCACAATACAGAATGCTGGCTTATAAATACGAGCCAAGCATTGTTTACGAGTTATGCGAGAGAATTACAACCGCAGCAATAGTCTAAGGTTCCAATAGTATATATATATAATATATATATATATATATATATATATGTATATCAAAACAGCTATGTTTAAGCAACAAATGAGAGGACGTCAACAATTAGTTAAAAGTTAAGATCAACAATAAAATCGCTAATAATATCTTATTTTAGCATTAAATACGGTTCATCTAAAAGAATAACATATTATAGCGCCTGTACAGACATAGCGCTCAATTGAATTACGAGTTGCGAAAAGTTCGGGGCGTTGGTTTTAGCTGTAAAAATGAGAAAATAAAAATCACATATTAACTTGCTAGCATATAAGACACCAAAGTTTGTATATAAAGTTAAAATAAAATATTTCAAATATCAATGTATACGACGTGTGCGTGTGTGTGTGTGCATGTATGTATGCATTTATGTATATATGTATGCATGTAGTTTGTTTTCTAATATTAAACGCAGACAAAGCTTATTTGTCGCTGTGCTGCAAATTTAAATTAAACGAATTTCTGCCAAGTGCTCTCCTCCTCGATTCTCAAGAATTCAAGTAGGCTCTGCAGTTTTCCATGCCTAGCTAGCAGTGTAGTGCTTTTTTTGTTGTTTTGTATGTATGTGCATTTATATGTACACATGTATGTATGTACATAAGTATGTAAATATGTATGTATGTATGCATGTACATAAATAGGTATGTACATATGTGTGCATGTACATATGTATGCATGTACATATGTATGTATGTATATATTTATGTATGTATGTACCTATGTATGTATGTATGTACATACGTATAAATGTATGTACATACGTATAAATGTATGTACATACGTATAAATGTATGTACATACGTATAAATGTACACATGTGTGTATGTACATATGTATGTATGTGCATATGTAAATAAATTTGAACACAAAACGTCACCCAGCAGACCTTTGACACCCATTTCCACCAAGGAGGAATCGATTCTTCGAGAAGTTTCATACAAACGTTTTTCGCGATTTTTCCGTACATGCGAGTGCAATTTCCCGAAGCCCCGTCTTAACGTGCACCTTCATCACATAAGGTAAGTGAACAAATCAGCTTCCAGCTTTAGATCCCATTCAGTTGTGTTTAAATATAGTGTAGGTATTGACTAAATTAAATTCATTAACTAAATTCAATTTATTTAGACAGCCCCCAAATTTCCACCGACATATTACTGATTAGTACCGAAGACTTCAAAACTCGAGTGGTTTTTGTTTTTAACTATCAAAAGTAGTTTAATTGTTTATTTATTTACACAATTCATAACCCAATTTGATTTCTATATATAAAACCAGTCGCACTCGTCGCTCTGCCTCTCATTTTGCAGCTAATGCTTTCGTTTCTTGCCCGCTTTGGGTTTGCCTCCTCCCATTTTGGCTTTGCCTCCGCCAAACTTTTTGCTTGTATAGATTTTGCTGTTCGAGCGACGCTTTTCCTCCCATTTCAGTTGCTTATCGGAGGATTTGTCCTTGTTGAAGAGCGCATTGCTGGTGCCTTGTCCCTTGGATTTGCCCGTTTCCTCCAGCAACGCTGAGAAATCATCCGCAGCAGCAAACAGCGAACTCATATCTAGGGATCGAATATATATTAATATAATATAGTATGTAAGGTAAACAAATAATTCATACGCACCGTCGCTGTGTTTCAGTTTCTGGGCGAAGTTGCGCTCATTCAAGATGGCATCTTTGCGTGATTTCTTTGTTTTGGGCGGCGCATCTTCATCATCTTCGTCCTCGTCGGGACTGTCGGGCGCCTCGCTTGCATCACTATCGTCATCCATAGATATAGAACCACCATCATCATCATCATCGTCTTCCTCATCGTTGTCATCCAAGGGCTCTAAATCAATTGAGCCCGTCTCATCGTCCGACTGATCGTCTGCTTCAGCGCCTGATAGATCATCCGCGTCCTCATCCTCAGCATCATCGTCCCAATCGTCATCCATATCGTCATCTTCTGTTTGTTTCTTCTTCTTTTGCTGCTTTTTGGACTTGTCCGCCTGCAGCTCTCCACCGAGCTCCTCTAGATAGTTCAGTTCTTCTTCGTCCTGCTCATCATCGCCGCCTTGTTTCAGCTTTTTGCCAAAGAAGTCATCCAAATAGGATTCAAACTCATCATCGTCGACTTCGCCCTCCTTTAAATCATCCTCAACCGTTTCCGGTGTTTTTTCCTCTATTTTTGGCTGCTTCTTGCTCTGCTCCATCAGCTCTGCCTGTTTGCGCTTATGCTCTAGATAATTGAATATAAACATTTCATCCTCTGTGCAGTTGGTCTTGGTCAGCGATTTAACGGGCTTGCCACGTGCTCCGAATGCCGTGTAACGTTTGTGCGCAGCGCTGGCGGCGCCCTCCACTGCCTGCTGATGGTCCAGTTTCTTGGGATTCTTGAAAGCGAAACGCTCCAGGAAATGCGGCAGACCAAAATCACGCAACGGATCGCCATAATAATCAATGCGTTGCTCTATAAGAAGGGAAAGGTATCAGTTTAGTGATGTCCACATGGCATCCAACTGTTGCTACTCACCCAGCAGTATATGCTCGGCAAACACCTGCACCGTGGGATGGTAATGTTGGCGCAGAAGCAGCAGCTCATTGCGCAGCGCATAGCCGGCACCCGCAAAGGCGGGCACACGATGATACGGATCGTATTTGCAGGCGTCAATGTCGCGCACCTTGGACTCTGTGGCAACCAAATGGACATGGTGCCAGGAGCTGGTGCCGGGCTCCTTCTCCTTTTTCACTGCTGCTTCCGTTGGCTCCTTATCCACATCCTTGTACACCTCCTCACTATCGCTGCCAAACTTATCCAGATCCTCAGGAGCAGCTGCCGGCAGCAGTTGCTTAGCGCTGGCCGCCATTTCCGTGTCCCCAATGCCAGCGACGAGCTCGCGGCGCATGCGGAGCAGCTTGTGCAGCACAATCAGACAGCCGGCAGCCATGTTGGGCGGCGCATAGAGGGCCAGCTGCAGCAGGCGCTTCACAAACGCCTGAGCCCGTGCCACATGCTTGTCTGTGTGGATGGCTCGATGCACAATGTGCAGCAGCTGGGCCGCCGTCTTGCCGCCAATGTTGATTAGATTCAGGTCCAGCAGTTTGATGTACAGCGCATTATAGAAGCGATCCGATTTCTCGGTCTTCACTGTGACCAGCTGCAGCAGCAGGCCCAGCGTTTGCACCGAGACGCGTATGTCGGCCAGATGCACCAGTCGATAGATGGTATCCTGCATCTCCTTGGTCAAGAGCTCAGTGCTGCCCTTGGCCGGCTGTGCCTCGGTGATGGCCTTTTGCAGGCAACGCAGAATCGCCTGCATGGTGCGGTTGTTGACGGCGCCCTTCTGCACCAGCACCTTGAACAGAGCAAAGCATATGTTGACCAGCTTGGTGCAGACTTCGGGACGACCCGATGGGGCTATGCTGGAGAGAAAGCACAGCGCAAAGTGCTGGGCACGCTCGGAAATGTTGTTGCGGAAGAGCAACTTCTCGGCCTCGGCGACAATGACGCCGCACATGTTGGGATGCCGTTGGGCCACTTCGCTGAGATGATGCAGCGCCTTGGAGGCTATTTTGGCAATGGGATCGCCCAGCTTGTTGATTAGCATTGTGAGCAGCATTTGCTCCTTCTCGGGCGCATAGGCCAACAGTTTGGCAGCGGCCACAATGGCAGCCGTCTTGTTGTGCTCCTGACCTGTTTGCAGGCCCTGCATTAGGTTCTTGAGATACTCGTGATACTGATCCTTGAGCTCGCTCTCAAAATACCAATAGGCGTAGATGCGACGTGTTTGCTCTTTGTGCAGCTCCCGCTTCTTCAGGTGCTTCCAGTCGGCGCCGCGCGTATGTATGGCCAATAGCTTGCGCTGTGGCGGCAGCAGCACCTCCTGCCACAGATCCGTGAGCACGGCAATGACATCGTTGCTGCTCTTATTTGATATCTTGCAGAAGGCAATCAGGTTGGAGAGTGCTTCCAGATTGCCCAGCGGATTGCTGGTCACCAGCAAGGCGCCCGCATTGGCGCGATCCTTGGCTGTACCTTTGTGCAGGGCAGTCTGCAGCCAGCGTGCATCCGTGGGATTGCCTGCGGAGGAACATACAAGGATTGTTGGGAGTTTGACACACTTTCTTTTGAAAGATAAACCTACGCTTATTGAACGTTGTCTTCTCTGCCTCAAAGGACGATTTGCATAGATTGAACAGCTCCAGCTGCTCGTTCTCCTTCATGTCCAGCACCTCATCACTGGAGGGGTACTCCGTGTGCTGCATTTAAACCATATCAGATTAATAAGTCTATATATATCCTCTGAAGTTCACGTACCACCTGATACCATTTCTGCTGTGCGTCGTTATCGTCTGCTTGGAGCTGTTGCCTGTTCCGCTTTTTGGTCGCTTTCTCCTCAGCTTCGTAGTCGCTCTCGGTCTCACTCTCCGTCACCTGCTCCTTCTCGGCGCCGTCGTCGTCGAACTTTATGCGCTGCGGCTTCTTTTCTTGACTTCCTTCTGGCAGCTGGTTGCTCTTTTTCGCCGGCTGCTCTTTGGGCTTCTTACTGAATTGCACTTCCTTCTCTTCGCCTTCTGCATTGCCATGGTCTCCAAACTTAATTCTCTGCGGCTTTTTCACCTGTCCGTTTCTGTTGGCCGCATTTTTATTATTTTGTGCCTTTTGTGCAGCCGCTTTTTTGTTGTGCTTCTCGTTTTTGGGCTTTGCCAAGGCTTCGCCATCTTCGTTAAACACAATCTTTTTGTTTTTCAATGGTCCATTGATTTGCACGCCTGTAGCTACAGCTGCCGGCATATTTTTAGTTTATTTAAAGCAACTTTAGCATTAAATAAAACTCACTAACAAAAATTAAACGCTCTGCACGTGTGCTTGAAAGTGGCATTCACCACAAGGCGGATAAACACAGATGTAAAGTGTGACCGCCGTTGCGACGCAGCTATGAGTCGCATGAAGTTGGCTGCGACCTTAAGTTTCAGCTGACTAGTATTTTGACGGCACTGGAATGATTGGCATTTAAGAAGTTAGTATATTTTTGGTTTTGAGATTCGGTCCCACTGCCGTCCAGTATTGATAGATCAGCTTACGCAGAGAGCGGCTGTGTCGCACGGGTTTTACCAACAGATTTTGTTTTAAAAATATAATTAAGCCTCGCGCTTTGTTTTGTTGTTTGCTGCTGCTGAACAACAAGCTGTAAACGTGACTCGAATAAAAGCTCTTCGTGCAGTATTTGTCAACGCAATAACAGCAAAAGCTAAAGCTTCGTTTCGTGCATTCGCCCCTCATTTTTTACTGTCTTCATTTTGTGCTGTCTTTCGTGCGCGCATTTCCATGGAAAACGTTAATTTTTGTTTAATTTATGCGAAATTACACAAAGCTAATGTGAGGAATATGTAACAAAATAAACGCTGGCACGCACACAAGCAACAGCAGCAACAACAACAATCAAAAACAAGGGGTAAAAACTGTAGAAAATTTGTGCAAAAAACTGTGACGACAGCAGCAGCAGCGCGGGGCACGGGGCACGGCAAATCGTCTGTTGAAAGAGTACATTAGTGTCTGTGTGTTGTGTGTGTGGGGGCCCAGCTAAATTAATATTAAGCGGTCTCCTCTTGCTCCTCGATTCGCCCCGGTTATGCCGACGATGATGGCCAATTTCCATGTACAACGTTGGCGCTTCCAGAGCCAGCTGCTCTTTCTGCGAGTGTAAACAAAGCAACACACATACTCACACAAACACGCACGCACACATATAAACGCACCGAAGACAATACAAAACGACGTAGACGTCGACGTCCTTCACCTTGCGCCTGCTGCGGCTGTCCAAGCTGTGCACACATATTGAGTTTCAGTTTCATCTTCACAACCTGTTCACCAGCAAGACAGGAAGTTTCGCAAAGTGCAGCAGCCGACAAAAACAACGCAGACGACGACGACAACAACGGAAGCGTCAACGCTTCGCTGAGCCATTGCCTGTGACTTTATTCGGCCAGCGGCTGCAGCTGTTCCCAAAAACCAAAACCACTCGCCAGAAGCTCGCTCGGGTAAGTGCCCCTTTTTTGGGTGTTTTTGTTATGTATAAATCTTCTGGGAATTAACACAACTGTGAGCCTTTTGTATCCTTCTGTTGTCGCAACTGTTCTAATTTTGGGTGGTGGTTGATTTTCTCCACAGATAACAGTGGTTGTTCGAAATTCGACCAGTTGGGCTCTAGAGTTTAACTTAATTTATTTATTTAAAAGTGTAAGAAGAAAAAGTAGTAAAAATAATTGTTTAAAGGGAGTAAAATTGGATAAAAATACAATTTCGCCATTTATGATTTCCAACTGTACTTTATATTATATAGCCCATTTATATAGGATGTTTGAATATCTTTCTTCAAAAGAGTCTAAAAAGAAGATAATAGACTAAATTGAGATGCTTATGCATTGGGTATAACTTCTCTCAATTCTGGAATATCTGCTTTCCAAGCGACATTTGTAGTTTTAGTATCAGTCTGTGTCGTTGTTCGCCCGCATCCGCTTTGCAACACTAATTGTTTCCGTCTAAATAATTGCTCAATAGTTTAGTTCGCTAAGCGTTATTAGCTCAAGCTTTTTGCAAAGCTTATCGCTGGAATTGATCATAGTCAAGCTCTAAAAATATGAGCTGCACTCATTTCTAAGCGAACACAATCACAGATACTCGTTGTTCCGCAGCTCACCTCCGGCACTTATCGTTTACAAATGCAACTTTAGCACGCGTCAAGAATTCTTTTGAAACTCGTTGCAGTCGCAGCTACTTTGACGTCACGAATGCTGTTGATGTTGCAGCTGCGCGCTCTGCTATTTGTTTAGTCTCTCTCGCTCTCTTCCTCACATACACAAACAAACACACACGCGCACAGGCACTGCGTGGCCCACTTGCATGCAGCAGCGCAGTCGCTGTCGCAGTCACAGTCTGCGTCGCCTGCGCTGTTACCGCTGCTTATAGCTGACGTAATGCTGTTGCTATTGATAATAAAGCAGCGACTGGTGGGCAATTTTAATTTTATGCTGACCATAAATACTCATATGGCACTTTCGCTAACTAAGTACTTTAAGGCAATTATGTCTCTACTTTATGGGTTCAAGTTCGCCGCGGCTTTTCGAAAAAATGGGCGTACCAACAAGTTTGAAAGCGAACCGCAACCCCGTTTAAACATGTTCGAACTAAAAGCTAGACACAATTCAATGTTTTTCTACCTTTTTTTTTTACCGAGAAAATGTAACACAACAGACGTGAGCGGCATGGAAATCAAATTTCTCAAATTGTCGTGAGCGTGGGAAGTCCCCGCCTCAACTGGAGACAAAAAACAAACAAACTCCAATTTGTGGAGTGTGTTGCATGCCCAAAAAAAAGGGGGATTCTCACCTTTAAAACTATGCCAACATATTGTGAAAAATTGCATTTCTTAGGCAATTTCAGAGAGCGCTAAGAATGGGAGAAGGGAATTTATTTTTGGCTATAACAATTTCTGAATAGTCGAATACTCCAATAGATTATATTGAAAAAGTTGTGCTGTTAGCCAAATGGAAGTATTAATCATTAAAAGACTTGGAATAGTTTTCCACTCACAAAGTAAGCAAAGTACTCGAAACACCCAAGGAAAAGGTTTCCAGATCAAAAAACATATTTTTAATGAAATATTTTTTATGTCAAATCATAGGATTAAGCGAAACACATTTTAAAAGGTATTTTCCCTCTGTTAAATCGCGATTTTCATCTCAGATCTCAGATGTTGGCACTGTTTCTCATAAAGACGCCTCTTTAATTTCTGTTAAATTCTGAAGATTGTCTTCAAATTGGCTTATTTCTTTAATTTTATTTATTTTGTGCCTCGCAGCTCACACAATAATGGGTTCACCTGCGGGTGGCGATGGCAGCGCCAGCGAGACTTCCTGGCTGGAGGATTTGCTGCGGGAGGTGCAGCTGGAACAGTTCCTGGAGCGCATACGAGATGATCTGCAGGTCACTCGCTTGGCGCACTTTGACTACGTGCTGCCCGATGATCTGGAGCGCTGTGGCCTGGGCAAGCCGGCCATAAGGCGTCTGGTGGAGGCGGTGCGCAAGAAGAAGGCCCATCAGTGGCGCAAGAATATACTCTCCAAGCTGATTGGCGGCGGCAAGCAGCCCTCGTCCAAGAAGCAGCAGCAAAACCAACAGCAGCAGCAGCATTTGAAGCCGGGCGCGTTGACGTGCCTGATACATGAGAAGGACATAACATTGGGCCTGAAGCTGGGCGATGGCTCCTTTGGTGTGGTGCGGCGCGGCGAGTGGAGCGCCTCGCCGGCTGGCCAGGTGCTCCAGGTGGCCGTCAAGGTGCTCAAGTCGGACAACCTGACACAGCCGGGCATCATTGATGACTTCTTTCGCGAGGTGCAGGCCATGCACGCCTTGGATCACTCGAATCTGGTGCGTCTGTATGGCGTGGTGCTATCCCAGCCCATGATGATGATCACGGAGCTGGCGGAGCGCGGCTCGCTGCTGGACACGCTGCGCAAGCAATGCCGCCACACATCGCTGACCCACATCTGGAACTGGTCCGTGCAGATTGTCACTGGCATGGCCTATCTGGAGCAGAAGCGCTTTCTGCATCGCGATCTCGCCTGCCGCAATGTGCTCTTGGCTGCCGGCAACAAGATCAAGATTGGCGACTTTGGTCTGATGCGTGCGCTGCCCCAGGAGGATGACTGCTATGTCATGTCCGAGCACAAGAAGGTGCCCTTTCCGTGGTGTGCGCCCGAGTCGTTGCGTTTCCGTCAGTTCTCGCACGCCTCGGACACCTGGATGTTTGGCGTTACGCTCTGGGAAATGTTTAGCTTCGGCGAGGATCCGTGGGTGGGCCTAAATGGCTCCCAGATATTACGCAAAATCGATCGCGAGGGCGAGCGACTGCATCAGCCGGACGCGTGCCCGCCTGATGTGTATGCCATGATGCTGCAGTGCTGGGACAAGACGCCCGGCGAACGACCCACGTTTGCGGCACTCAAGTAAGCTCCCTCTTTGATAATGTAGAACCCTCGCTAATCCTGTCTCTTTGCTCGTCTAGGGAATATCTGGGCAGCATGTCGCCGCCGGTGATGCGCGCCACGCGCAGCTATCATGACGCCAAGGGTCTGCAGCTCGAGCCGGGCGACAGCATTGCCATCATCGATGGCCGCTCGGAGCTGAAGCTGATCAAGGGCCAAAATCAGCGTACCTACGATATTGGCGTCTTTCCGCGCGCGCTGCTGGAGCAGCGACGTCTCGGCGATGTCCAAATGCGAGGCAATGCAGCGCCTGGCTCGCCCTTTGGCTTCTGCTGGGGTGGTGCTGGCGGTGCCACCGCTGCGCCGCCCAATGGCGAGGAGCGACAGCGCAAGTGCGCCTCACTGACGCCACAGGCCACACAGTCGCCGCAGGGTCATGTCAAGGAGCGCAAGTCCATATCCAGCAAGCAGTTCTCCTACAACAAGCTCGTCAACGATTGTGGCGGTCTGCAGCGACGCAATGCGGTCAAGCATAAGATGTCAGCAAGAGGTCCGAACCGGCCACCGCCGCCGCACCAACAGCAGCAGCAGGAGGAGGGCATTCTCATCGACATCTCGCCTGAGATGCGTCCGACGGCAGCTCTGGCCGCTGGCGACAGTTCCTCGCTGCAGCTGGACAACTCCTTTTGCCTGCTGGATGCGCCCATTGATGTGCCCACATTTGCTGAGGCTGCCGCTGGCACAGCCTATTCCTCGGGCCCCAACACGCCCACCTTCTTCAACGAGCAACCGCAGTTTGATTTTGAGTCGGCAGCTGCCGCCTCTCCGGGACGCCTGCAGCCGCCGCCCTATCAAATGCCGCCCACCTACTCCAACACCATTGAGTTTGCCCAGCAGCTGCACAAGCGCGAGCAGCAGACGCCTGTGCGGGATCCGTTCGATACCAGCGGCCTGGATTCCACCGCTGGCGCTCTAATGCTCTACTCGAATGCCCCAGCTCCTGAGCCTGTTGTTGTTGCGCCCGTTTACGGCAGTCCAGCTGCACGCAAGAATCTCTTTGGCGCTGGCCTTGCCAACGGGCATGCCAACAAGGAGAACATACCCGCCTTGGAATCGGCCGCAATGCAGTACAATTTGAGCAACCTCACGCTGGAGCGCCATGAGGTGACAACCGTGCAGCAGCAGCAGCAACAGCAGCGGCAATCGCAGCCAGCCTCGGAGAGCGTGCTGCTGGACAAATCCTTTATAGCTGAGCTGGAGAAGGACATGTATAGCGGCAGCAACAAGGCACAGGAGGATTATCAACGCAACTCGGCGCAAATGTATGCGAACAAGGAGATTGTCTACAAACAGAATCTCACGCCCCTGAAAAACGCCGCTGGCAGCGGCAATCTATCGAATCACTCCAGTCCCACATCCAACGGCAGTCAGGCATCGCCCACGCCCAAGCAGAATAATGTGGAGACCGCTGCAGCAGCAGCATCTGTCACCACGCAGAGTGTCGTGAATCGCATTTGGTATGAACGTGTGGCAGCCACGTCCTCGGAGTACTATGCACAGCCGCCGCCGCCGGAGTCGGCGGAGCAACTGTATCAAAATCAGCGGCAGGCACCGCAGTCGCAGCAGCCGGAAACGCATCACTCGTTTGTGGCCATATCCAATCGCGTGGTGGCGCCCAAGAGCAGCGTCTACGCTTCGAATGCTTCGCTGTATGGCAGCGTGGCGTCCTCCGGCGGCGAGCGCTATGATCAAGTTGCCGCCAGCATGGCCGGTTCCGCCTACTACGGCCAGGTGCCCAATGGCAGTGGCGCGGCCATTTACGATGAGGTCACTCTGGACGATTATCTGCGTCCGCATCGTCCGGCACCGCTGGCCCCGCCGCCGCTTTCGGCACAGCAAATCCAGCGGCGTCTGGACAAAATGCGTCAGCAGCAACAGCAGCAGCTCGAGGGCGCCCATCAGCTATATGCCCCGGTGCCGGCGGAGGCGCAGCGCGAACAGGAGAAACTGCAGCAGCTGATGCTGGAGCTGGGCAGCGCCGCTGTGGAGCAGGATGTGCGCAATGCACTGCGCGCCGCCAGCGGCGATGTACAGCTGGCTCAGCGCCACTACAAGATCGATCAGCTGACTCGGCTGGGCGTCGCCGGCAGATCCCAGTGTGAGCAGGCACTGCATCAGTCCGGCTGGAGCTTGGAAATGGCCGCAGAGCTGCTGCTGCAGACGGCGGCGGGCTAAATGCAGCTAATTAGAGTAATAAGTTTGGGCACAATGATTTAGTTAAGCCAGATATGTGTATTAGTGTTGAATTTGGGCCGTTGCTGCCAGCCGTGTTTTAGTTTTTAGCCCGATCTATTTTTATTGCCCAACCGAATATGTCTCGAATCTATGCAAAATACTCGATTAGAATGCTTGAATTTCAGAACAGAAACAAAAGTCCAATGACTGTACTATATGTTAACACACACACACACAAACAAGCATATAATTTTATGTTTTAGCTTAAGCAACGATTTGAAATGAACTTTTTGTAATTGTTATTGCATTACTGTATATAATTTAATGCAAAATTATTTGCAGAAAAATACGCAACTTCAGAATTAATGATGCAAGCTGCAACAGGCGAGCAAAGCCTATTAATGGCAGCTATTTAGTTAGTTATTAAATCAATAAATTATATGTAATTGTTACAAAGTTTAATACGTTTCCTCTTTGTGCAAAGTAATTGCGCGATACTCAATTTGAAAATAACGATAAAGTTCCTTTTACTCGATACTTATATTTGCGGACTATTCGTTACTTACTCATCGATAACACATTTCGTCGATTGTAGCATCGGTTTATTTTAAGTATTTTTACTATATCGCAGTACGGTCACACCGATGAGCTTTGTTTTAGTTGCAATCGAATCGGCGAAAGTAAAGGTACGCGTGGTCCGCATGTTGCTTGTTTTTGCGAGAAAAAAACAACAATTCAATTATATTCGTGTGTGTGCCTGCGAGTGTTTGTGTCGCCTAAATTTATGACGCATACTAAGTGCAAGCGCATATCAGTGTGATAAAAATATTGTGCAACACTTGAACGGCAAAAAATGTTAAATCCCAAACGCTGCACTTCAGTTCAATACGATGCGAAAAAAACCAACAATGCAGCATAGAAGAAGCAGAGTGCGTGCATTCGGCCTCTGCTCGTTGCTGTGTGCGTGTGTGTGTGTGTGTGCGCCCGCGCCCGTGTATGTGTGTGTGTGTGCGAAATTATGTAAAAAACAACAATAGGCACATTTGCCTATTGTGAGCTCTGGCGTCGAATTTGTTGTAGCCATTGCGGCTCGTTGTTTGGCAGCGGTTAAATTGAAAATTAAAACTAATGGCAAATTTAATTAAAGAGAGGCGCGCGTGCGGCTTTATGTGTTTAATATTTTAATGTATCGAAAGTCATAAATAAATGATTGCTTATACGTTCCAATTGACTCTCGCACTCTCCCAATTACGAAATGCAGCCATGCTCTCCAAATCGCGTTTTATCTCTCTCTCTCTCTCTGTCGCTAGGCTGCAGCAAATGCCAGTGCACGAAAATTTTCTTGACGTCAGCAGCGGCAGCGGCGGTGGCCGGTTTTATTTGTTGCTGTTGTTTGTTTGAAAGCGATTGGCAGCACTTTTTTAGAGTCCTATACCCGTTCCCATTCCACAAACGAAATTCCTTAACCATTTGATCTACCTGCCGATGCCGTTGCCGCTGCCGCAGCCGGCGTCGCCGCTGCGCCTGTGGACACGTCTGCATTCAACGTTGCTGGAATCGCAGAGTATTGGAAATTGCTCTCTTTTCGTTTTGTTGTCGTTTGTTCACAGGCAATTAGGCGAAAAGCAAAGGCAACGAAAACGAAACAAAATTCTCAGTTTCTATTCTTTTTTTTTATTTTATTTACCTTACCCCATGTTTCGCTGTTGTTTACAACAATAATTATAATAACAGTGGCAAACGGATCAAGCAAAAGCAGCGCAGCAGCAGAAACTGGCAGAACCAGAAAACGCAGCAGCAGCGCCAAGCTCCAACAACAAAATGAGTTGGGGTACTGAGCTATGGGTAAGTTTTTTCTTCCTCTTCTTATGTTATTGTTTTTGTATATCTAAAGCAAGCTATTGTAGTTTTTGTACATAAAGCTCAAAGTGCAAGCGTTTGTTTTAAGCGTTCTCTTGCGGCTGCCCTCTCTCTCTCGCTCTCGCGCGCGCACTCTCTTGACCAACAGAACACGACTTAAAAAATACTAAAAACTGGTTCTGCGTGTTTTATGTAAATTGCGGCCCGCAAGCGTGGAATTCTTCTTCTTGTTGTTGTTGTTATTGTTGTTGCTGTTGTTGTATTATAATTTTTTTATTTTTGGGTCCGTTCCAGGCAGCCGTCAACTGATTTTATTCTTAACTGTTTTTCCATGGCCTCCTGTCGCCATTTGGCACACAGCTGTTTTTTTTTTTTAACTCGTTGCTGACACGCCCGTTTAACGTCTCACCTGAATACCGCCGTCGCCTCCCCCAACGCTGCACGCACTCAAATGTGCTGCTTCAGCTGTAGTAGCGCGGCGGAGATTTTGGGGGGCTTATATTTTTTAGTTTTTGCTTTACAGTTCGATGCGATTTCTGTTTATTTCTATTCCTTTTTTAATTTCGATTTCAATTTTGGGGGTAGTTTTTGCGACAGCAGCCGGCAGCACACCCTCAAACTCTCTTTATCGATATGTAGGTGTGCGTGTGTCTGCCTATGGGTGTGTGTGTGTGTGTGCAGCTGGTAAAGTTGCCATCGTAGCAGCTTTGCTGCTCTCTGCCAGGATAAAATTGCATGTCTAGACGGTCGCAGTCAGATTTATCTATTAGCATCCAACCCATGTTTCCGCATTTTGATAGTTTCTAAAGCTTAAATCCCACAAATGTGAGTATTTTGTTTGAATTTTGGATTTAAGGAAGCGCTTTGAACAAATATGTATGATAACTGTGATAAAAATATGTACCAGGGCTGCAGACCCAATGTTAATTATCACTAGTTCAGTTCAACTCCGAGTTTTAGGTTCGGTTCGTGTACTTGTTTCTGCATATTTTTGACTTTAACCAAAAACAGAAAAAAATTAAGAAATTTGTTAATCCGAATTGGATTTTCTGAAATCTGTGAGGCATTTACAAAAAGCAGATTTGTCTTCTTTCAATTTTGCAAGTGCAATTTTGCGAATGCAATTAAAAATAATGAAGCTTTACGATAAATTCAATTTAATTAAAATTTTTGTTCTGCAAAGCCTTTACTCAAATTAATTCTTTCTCGTTTTGTCGAAATTACCTATTTTTGTTGAGGTGTTTTCTCCGAGTCATCCATAAATTGAAAACTCAATTGTTGTTCATTGTTTGAGAATAAAAATCTGTAGCTACTGTGGCCAATTATTGTTTATTTTTTACCATAAACATTTCAACGTTTGCATAAATAATTTACACGCAAATATTTGGACGAAAGAAAAGAGGGAAAAAAGTGATTTCTTTTGTTGGAAATAGAAACAAATCGCATTTTGCATATCATGCATGGAAAGTGTAAGCAGAGTATTAAATACGTTTAATTGATTACAACACGTAAACGAAAATATCGTTATTTATAATGCAAATTCCAAGCTTAAAGCCGGGCTAATAAGCGGGTCAATTGCGAGGCCTGCATAAAAATAGAAATAAGTATTAAAAATAAAAACCAAACCACGAACTGAAGCCAAAGCCGAAGCCAATTTCTGCGCCAGTCAACTAAAAACAAAAAATTCAACAAACTTTCTTTGCATTTTTGCTGCGCTTCTTTTTATTTTATTTTAGTTTTTATGAACAAAATTTTCACTTTAATTAAATTTAAAGCATGCGCCGCCGTCTTCACGTCCATTAAAATTTGAACCCTTGCATATGCAAAAAGCTCAAAAAATTAAATCAAATAAAATTGTAATAAAAACAGTCGTTATTTTGGGTGAATTTCCTTTCTATTTCTCTATTTTCTATACTTTATTTGGTTCGTTGACGCCCTCGTCTAAACGTTTTCTCTCTCTTTCACACGCACGCTCTAAAAATAGTCGCCTGTCATTTAAAAATGAAAACAAGGGGGAGGGGAGGGGAAACGCGGTCTAGTGGAAAACCTTACCGCTCTGCGCTGAGTATTTTTATTGCGCTGCTGCGTTTGTTGTCATTACCTATATAAAGTTTTGGATTAGTGTCAGGAATTTCGAATCGATAAACATTTGTCAGCTCAGGTGTATGAGAAAAACAATAAAATGTCAAGCGTTTAAATTTAGTCAAAACAAGATTTTAGAGGCAAGGTCACACTTTTAATTAAAAATGTGTATATATATATATATATATATATATCTCTATATCTCTATATATAAAACTGTCTGTCCTGACTGACCGACTGACTGTGTGATGGAAGTGCACGTTAAGACGGGGGTTCGGATAATTCCACCCGCATGTGTGAAAAAATCGCGAAAAACGTTTGTGTGAAACTTTCTTATTTTCCATCCGATCGGCCTCAAACTCATTTTCAAAGATCTTGGTTCAAATTCACTTGAGGGGTGTTTCACACTTTTCGAAGAAATGCATTTCTCCTTGGTGGAAATGAGCGAAAACTAGAATAGATAGAAAAACGATAAGGAAAACCTTTGAATATGTACAATCTACAGTTTTTAAAGGCTTTACACTGTTATTTACGATACACAATAAATGTTTTCCATATTTGCATAAAATGTGATGTGTTTTATTGCGAGCCAAAATTGATTAACTTCCGACTAATATACGACATAACAACCACTTGAGTCTGGGATCAAAATTATATTGTACATCTGTTATATTTAATCTTTGTCAAATCGTAATTAACTTTTACTTCTTGTTTTTAGAAAAAACCCCGATTTCTTGAGTATTTTATCAGCTGTTTTCGTTGTTTATTGCAGCTGTTTGCTATCAAGCTTTGATTATTTTTAAAAACTAAGATTAAATAATATCACGATTCATTTTATAGCAACTCATTACGATTATTTCTACTTTTTTCTCTAATCTATCTAATTTTGTAGTATTTCTGTGACTTCTATGTCTTTTTATTGCTTGAGTTATCAGTTTGTGCCCGTTTAGTCGACATTTATGTGTATTTTGTAATTGTTAATCGATTCGCATCTATGTATCTGTTTGTTGTGGCTCAGCTGTTTGAGCACACAGCAGGCACTTGTCTCCAGCTGTCCCTCCCCTTCCATTGTCTCTCTGTCGAGGTCTCTTGTGCTCGTGCAGCTCCTTCACACTCTGCCATCGAATCCACTCGATGCTCAATGCCATTGTCATTGTTGTCGGCGTCGCTTGTTTTTCTCTTTTCTAGAGATTAGTGTAAATAATTTTCTTGTTGCAGTTTTTCAATAGGTTTTCTTGACACTGAAATCGAATGTGTATCCCACAGCAATTAGCTAAAACATAACTGAACCAATTTTGTGTTGTCTGCGTGTTGTTTTTAGCGATTTTTAGCTGTTTAATGACAAGCATTTAAAGCTAAAAATAAACTCTAGACAACAACAGTTTTTATGGGCTTCGCGAATGACACACATGTATGTAGAATCTTAAAAAAAGCGACAAGAACTCGGGCTCGTATATCTTTTAGCAGTACCAATTACTGTTTGCAGTCGGATCGTTAATTTACCTAACGTGTGCGCCATAATTAAAATTCTGGCACTCACCCCCCCACACTCCACGACCCACACCCCTTGTCCCGCACACACAACAGTTGCGACCCCATCGCTGCAGCTGCCAATTAAGGCACACGACGTGGTCCGGGGGCGGCACCAGCGGCGATTTATGCGCTCAAGGCCAAGTTGTCAAGAAACGCATTTTGATTGCAGATTAGACACAATCTCGTTGGGGTCGCACCCCAAGTGCAAATCTCCTTTGTTGAACATCCCATCGATTTGGCAGCAGCAGACCTTCAGACGCAGTTGCCGGCCAAGCTGGAGGACAGCTTCTTGGCGCCTGTCTGCAGCGGAAAATTCGCAATACGCTTGTGCGTGGCGTTCGGCCAGGACTTTCGCCTTGGGATTTGGCAAGGATATGGCATTCGAGCCACGCGATGGGTGGTTGCAAAAATGCTCGATGATTTCATTGCATCCGGCGTGTTTTCCTTGACATTTCTCTTATTTATTTATTTTTACTTTTTGGTAGATTTAAGACGCAATTCATGTTGTCCAAGGGGTAGAAATATTATTAGATTTTACGCAAGAAAACACCCCATGAAAATTGGCGAAGGAAATAATGGAGTGGCATAAAGTATAAAAAATATTATAAGATTGCTTAAGCTACATTTTTAGATCATTTTTGATGCCTATCTAAGAAGCATTTTAAATTTCGATCCATATCAAAATTCAAGCCGTCTTCGCTGAGTACCTGAGAGAGCACCTGTGAGACAAAACAATGCATTGCAAATTCTCTTTATCTCCATCTCTCTCGATGTCTGTCTGTCTGTCTGTCTGTCTGTCTGTCTCTCCGCTCTCTCTCTTCTCGAGCAGCGTTCGATGTTAATCTTTTAGTCTATAATAATTGCGAATTCCGCTCACATTCTCCAAGTGCATTGTAAAATAATCTCTGTTGTTGTTGTTTTTGTTGCTGCATTCGAGTTGATGTTGTTGTTGTTGGTTTGTGGTGTCTGCTGTCTATTGATTTCAGTAGCCTTCAGGCTTTAGTTTGTGCTGCATGCATATTAAGCAGCTGCCGCTGTGTCTGCCGCTGTCTCTTTATCTATCTCTTTCGCTGTGTATCCATCAGATACATTTGGCCAACGCGTTTAATATGCAAATTGCGACCGTTGCCATTCAAAAGTGCGCCGGCGCCTGCGTTTGCACTTGCGACAACACACATTCCTATATGGTTATATAGTATGCCATATACTTCTACTCGTATGGCATATTTGTGGTAAAGCGTTGATAAGCCAAGACGTTCTGGACAAGACATATGCATATAAGTACATATAAATATACTTTTTAATATATATATCAATGGTTCTTTTAAAGAGCACACACTTCCTTTGCAACTTATCGCTTGACCAACTTT